TATTTATACGCGACAATTAGTTTTTACGTGCATAGGAAACGCACCGTGTGTAATATACGTTTGGTTAGGATTATGGCAAGCCAAGAGGTTCATAATTACACCATAAATAAATCGCGTTTACTGCCATAGTTATTAACATATATATAGTAAGGATAAGTATGATGTGTATATTGCCTAATTGCAAGCTTGTTTTAGAAATGGTGACAACAAATTTTTTCCATCATTATTGAACATCATTGGAGTATTAGGTTGAATGAGCTAGAATTAAATGTTTTATTAATCATTAGAAAATAGACATTAAGAGAATAAATTGTTATGCAAGTACTTTTGCTTTTAATACTTAAAGTACATTTAAAATCAGGTACTTTTTACTTTTTACTTAAGTATGCTTGTCATTGTGTTACTTCTACTTTTACTAAAGTAAATATTTATCTGGTTATTTGTACTTTTACTTAAGTACTGAAATTAAGTACTTCCTCCACCACTGGAAATGGACGCCAATAAGATTCTGAATGCAAAGTTTACTTTTAACAAGTTGCCAAATGGTTCCATTGACAAGACCAAAGTTATCTGTGTGTTTTGTCGTTGTGAACTGAGCTATCATCATCGCAGCTCGTCCAGTCTGAAACACCAGCTGATGGCCAAGCACACACACACACACAGCTGATGCGAATTCTCCGCCCCCTCGTCAATATCGGGACCTCGTCAGTATTTCTTTCACCCTTTTATTGATGGACAGTGTTACATTGTGTGAGAGATTATTTGCTCTAAGTGAGAATGTTAGTGTGAAATTTAACACAGTATAGGCCAACGTTGTTTTCAACATAAAACATTTGCACAAAGCAAGCCGATCCACTTTTCCATGTTGATAAGAGCATTAAAATAATTATAGGATAAATCAAGAGACATTTAGAAAAGAGAAAAATGTGAGATTAATTGCGATTAATCGCGAGTTAACTATGACATCAATGCGATTAATCGCAATTAAACATTTTAATTGTTTGACAGCACTAAAATAAACTTTAACAAACCCTGAGAAATCTACATCTATTGTTTAAAAAACACACTCTGTTGCCATAACAAAGGAATAGAAAGAAGGCTTTTTTGAGGGTCTGAACAATCCAAAAATTCCTGCAGCCGCATACTTGTCCAAATGATGGACCACTTGAAATATGGAGTCAAAAAACATCCAGGAACCTAAACTGACAGGCCAAAACAAATATGTAATTTTTGAGGAATGAAGTCAACTTTTCTAAAAATATCCCCTGGTGAAGTACAAGTCTGGCTTTTTCAACTGCATCGGTGGGACAGAAAACATTTTCGACTCCCTTCAGTTTGGAAACAAATGAACAAAAATCGCTGTACAAACATACAAAGAGAAATTGTTGTGCATTACATACTTAACTGTCAACATGCAGAAAAAAAGTAACACTGACAATAAAGTTGTATTTTACTGAAACATCCTTTAAAGGAGTAGTTCACTTTTCAAAAAACACTTTAGCTGATAATTTACTCGCCCCCATGTCATCCAAGATGTCCATGTCTTTCTTTCTTCAGTCGAAAAGAAATGAAGGTTTTTGATGAAAACATTCCAGGATTTTCTCCATATAATGGACTTCAATGGGAACCAAACGGTTCAAGGTCCAAAAGACAGTTTCAGTGCAAACTGTTCAAAGGGCTTTAAACGAGTCCAGGCGATGAATAAGGGTCTTATCAAGCGAAACGATCGCTCATTTAATAAATAAATAACAAGTTTAAGTTTTATAAGCTCAAACGCTCGCCTTGCTCTGTTCTGTAACGCACTCCTGTTCGAACTTGTTCATCTTTTTTCCGAGTCATTTGGTTAATTCGGCGAAAGAAATGAACAAATTGATTCGGAAAAAGATTTGTTCATTTTGTTGAACGAGTTCAAACAGGAGAGTCACAAACGTGCACCACAGAACAGAGCAAGGCGACCATTTGAGCTTATAAAACTTAAACTTGTTATTTATTTATTAAATGAGCGATCGTTTCGCTTGATAAGACCCTCATTCATCGTCTGGACTCGTTTAAAGCCCTTTGAACAGTTTGCACTGAAACTGTCTTTTGGACCTTGAACCGTTTGGTCCCCATTGAAGTCCATTATATGGAGAAAATCCTGGAATGTTTTCATCAAAAACCTTCATTTCTTTTCGACTGAAGAAAGAAAGACATGGACATCTTGGATGACATGGGGGCGAGTAAATTATCAGCAAAAGATTTTTCAAAAGTGAACTAATCCTTTAATGCTTTGAAACTAGTTCATAAATATGTATTAAAAGCAACCAGATGCTATAACAAAAAAAGACTGAGCTGATTTTTTTTTTAAATATAAGTATAATCAAGGTTTTACCAACAGAATCCTTAACTATAGCAGGTTAAAATGCAGAAAAACCTGAATTAGCAAGTTTCTATAAATAAGACATCTATTGTTTGCAGTGAATGGAGAAGGCTGCCCTAGCACTCGCTAACAGGTCAAGGAGCAGAAGTCAGAGCCTGCGAGCTTTCACGTGCACCCCACTGGCCCCCAGCTGGCCCACTGCACCTTCAACAATGCCCCATCAGCTGACGGGCTTTTGTTAGCACCAGATGCTCACAGAACTATCCAGAGAAAGATCTAACACATGGCTAACAGACCAAAACCATCAGGGAGCAAAAATCCTCATGTAAAACTCTGCAGATACTTCACTAAACATTAGACCCTAAAATGAACACAGTATTTTTTATTTAAAAACTAAAAAAAAAAATAATAATAAATAGTTTTTGTGAAAAGTTTTGGCATTTGCTTGAGTTAATTACCCCATAATTTACTCACCCTCAAGCCATCCTAACTGTATGTGACTTTCTTCTATCAGATTTAAGCCAAAAAAAAAGTGCATCCATCCATCATAAAAGTAATTTATACAACTTCTAGGAGTTGATCAAGGCCTTCTGAAAGTATTTATTAAACTATAATTATTGGCTTCCAGTAACGGCCGTATGAGAGTCGAGTTCTGGTGGAAGAGTGACCTCTGACCCGACGCTGAGAGTAGACGCCTCTCACGGTTCAAACTAACTCAAGCTCCTCCCACTCTCACTTATAATATTTAAAAATTCTTGTTTTAGACATTATTTTTAATAATTCTTGAGCAGTGTTTTGTTTTGCTCTATCCTCGGCGCTTCCGAGGTTCGGCAATACGTCATGTGTCGGGTCAGAGGTCACTAGACTCACGTATGGCCGTTACTGGAAGCCATGATTACAGTTTCTAAAGTAAATATGGATATTTTTTTTTACAAAAATGCATGGCTTCGCTTCTGAAGGCCTTTATTAACCCCTGGAGCCGCAAGGATTGCTTTTTAATGATGGATGGATGTGGATTTGGGGCTTCAAAATCTAAGGTACCATTCACTCCCATTATAAAGCTTGGAAGAGGCAGGATCTTTTTTAATACAACTATGATTGTGTTTGTCTAAAAGAAGAAAGTCGTACACACCTAGGACGGCTTGAGGGTGAGTAAATTATGGGATTGTTTTCATTTTTGGGTGAACAAACCCTTTAAGTCTGACATAATTTCTGTGCTGCCAAACCAGTCTATTTGATTGAACTGGAAACATAAACAATGGTGTGAGTTTGTCCAAAACATGAAACACTGGTACTGAGTGAAACTTGTTTGATGACAGTAAATATTTCTGAAACTCTTTTTCGTGCCACTAGTGGTGCATATATATGACACATTTCACCTGTTCAAATACTGTTCGGGTCCACTGTAGATATAGATGTTGTTCACTAGCTCACATTTGCCTCGTGATCTTTAATGTGTGAGACATGACAGTATATCAATTGTTTAACCCTCTGGGGTTGTTCGTTACAGAGTCACACTCGGGGTGTTTGGGTCCAAATGGACCCAAAGGGCGGGATTTATATTTAAAAAAAAAAAATCATGATTTTTTTTTTTTTACTCGTTTTTTATAATATCTTTTATTTTATTTTTTTTGTGTTTTGAGAAAATTTAAATATATATATATATATATATATATATATATATATAATTAGTATTAATGCAATAATTATGACAAAATTTCCCCCCATTGAACATAATAGACATTATTTTTTTTTTAAAGCTGTATTTCATTTTAGAGTCAAGCCTAGGCCTCATAAAAGCAATTTTTGAAATGAGATGGATGCCATCTGGTGGACAAACTGAGCATTTTAAAAATACAAAACATGTATAATCAGAATTTTTTGGTGTGTTTGTATATAAAAGTTTCTGTGTGTGTGTATGTGTGTCTGGATGTTTTGCACTCTTGATGTTTTATAGATTCACCCCTTCACTGTTGTGTGCTTTTTTTCAAGATCGTGGCTGATTTGTAGATTGTACGCACAAAAAACCTCAGTATTTTCACATTTTTGCCAATTTCCCATTCATTTTCCATGCGGGTCCATTTTTTTTACAACCACTTAGACTACTCACATCCTGTCCCCAATTTTTTGGGGGGTGTTCAAATACCAAATACCAACAAAGTCACCAAATTTCGGACCATTCCGAGGAAGCTGTGATTTTTAATTTTTTTAATTTAAATTCTTCGAGTCCATTTGGGCCGAACAACCCCAGAGGGTTAAAATGTCAGTGGACTGCTATACGCCTTATTCACGGCAGCGCCATCTTTGATTTTTAATGAGAATGAAAGCGAGGCTGTGAGGGATAGACATGCATCGCTTCAATGGGCTGTACTGTTATTTAATGTGTTTTCGGATTGTTCCGCTCATGAAACACTGGAAAAATATCTTTCAAAGAAATGTCAGTTGACAAAAAACTCCCGACAATGTAAGCTGTGGAAAATTGTAAGTAATCTAGCCGCTTTATTCAGCTTTTTACAGCAGGATGCCATTGGAAACACGGTAAGTCTATCCCTCACAGCCTCACTTTCATACCTGTCATGGCGCTGCTCTGAATAAGGTCTATAGAAGGGGAACAGAACAAGGTAATGAATCTTGATTTTACCTTGAAGGACTCCAGTTGTTGGTTAATGACTTCTGTTTCCAATCCAACAGACCCTTGGGACTCCTCTTGCTTCTCGGCACTGCTTAGTTTGGAGGTAAACTCTTGCGCCTTGCTGCAGAACTCCTCCAGATGACCGAGGGTCTCCTCGACCAGTTCCCTTCTCGAGGTGGCTCTGTCCATCAGCTTTCCACATTGCTTGCCCAGGGCGTCCAAGTCTCTCTTTAGACCCAGGAGATCCGGTGAGGCCTCTGACTCCAGCATCTTCTTGCAACTGTCTCTCCCATTGGCTGTGTTGGTCATCAGATCCTGAAGTTTAGCAACAAAGTCTTGGATAGTGCTTTGCTGATCCCGTAAGGTGTCAAGATCCCTGCCCACTGAAGCCATACCATCCAACTCGTCATCCAGGTCTGCAAAGTTGGCAAACATTTCGCGGATGCTGTTCTGGAATTGCCCGATGCCCTGGAGCTTGTTCTCCAGGGTGGAGCAAGCGTCCTCTACCTTTTTGGTAATTGACATGTGGTCTTTTTCCAAGCTATCTGCCTGAAGGAGAAGGTCTGTCACACCTTCAACCTCAGAGGCATCTACTACAAGACTTTGTGCAAGACTTTTAAGATGCTCAATCTGGTTGTGGACACCCTCCAAGCTGTTCTGCTGGGCCTTCATGTTGGTCAGGTTCTTGTTGCTGTAGGCCTGGACACCCAGGGAAGAGTGCGAATCGAGCTGTTTCCTGGCACCCTCCAGTTGGCCTTTGGCTTCTTTCTGTAAGTCATTGAACTCTTTGAGTTTTTGCGAGATATTTTCTAATGTTTCTCTTTTGAGCATTAAATCTTCCGTCAGCTTATCCAGTCGTTTACCAATGGTTGCCTTCTCCTCCCTAACCATATCGCCATCTGAAGTGACGACCTCCAGGAGGCTATCTGCAGCTGTGTTCGTTATCACGACTTGCCCTCGGTGCTTGTCAACATCCTTCTGGATGGCCTTCAACTGCAAGAGGGAACCCTCGATCTCCACCGAGTTCACGCTGAGCTTTACATTCTTCCCCCTGTCTTCAAACTCTTGCAACCACGAGCTCAGTTGCTCTGAATGTTCCTTGTACTTCAACGCCCTCTGCATGGCCCCTTGAAGCTTCTCTGCTTGATCAGCATTGCTTTTCTTCACATCGTCCCAGCTGGACTTTAGAGCAGAGAGCTGTCCCTGAAGGGCCACCTTTTCTGCCCCCTCTGTCCTCTGAAGGAGAGTTTCACCCTCTTTCATGATGGTGTTATAAGGTCCCTCATGGTCACTAATGGCCTTCTGAACTGCACTGTTCTCCTTGAGACTCTGTTTTAGCCTCTCTGCGTAGGCGGAGATGGGCTGTGTCTTGCTCTGCTCCTGGAGAGTTTGATTCAGCCAGGCTTGGAAGTCCTTCGAGGTCTGATGGAACTGCTGGGAGCTGGCAAAGGCCGAGTTGAGCTGCTCAATCCGCTTTCCTGGTTAAACACAAGGTACGACATAAGAATGTTAGATAAGAAGTCTCCACGGTTGTCACAATTATGTAATATTGTGTCTGAGCAGAGCATAACATGACAAGAGTCATGAGTGTTAAGTCAAATGTTAACACAAATTAACGGGTATGTCCCTCTTTGGCTAATGTACATTCAAGATGGAGGGGCAACATGGCGACCGACATTAGATCCCCTTACCTGTATGTATTTTCAATGCCATATTATACACTCACGAGAATACTTTATTACTTGAACGAAGTAAATATACATTAATGAGCACATATAGTGTTTTTAGCTAAGAATAAACTAAAAGGCTTTAAATATTCATGAGCAAGAAGATGTGAAAGGGAGCTCATTTATGTAACTACTGTCAGACCGACCAGAAAAACCTAAAAAGCACTGTTTATTTATTTATTTTTTTGTTACATTGTATTTATTTGTGCTTTTGCTTGTAATTTGATTTTTATTGTATCTAGTTTTTAACTATGTTAGGCTAGTAGTTTCAGAATTGGAATAGTGAATAGTTCATGTTCACTTTAAAAAAAAAACTTTTGCTGATAATTTACTCGCCCCCATGTCATCCAAGATGTCCATGACTTTCTTTCTTCAGTCGGCTTTTGATGAAAACATTCCAGGATTTTCTCCATATAATGGACTTCAATGGGAACCAAACAGTTCAAGGACCAAATGACCTTGTTCAGTGCAAACTGTTCAAAGGGCTTTAAACGACTCCAGACGATGAATAAGGGTCTTATCAAGCGAAACGATCACTCATTTGAACCAAATGACACAAAAAAAGATTCGTTCATTTTGATGAACGAGTTCGAACAGGAGAGTCAAGAACGCGCATCACAGAACAGAGCAAGGCGAGCATTCGAGCTTATAAAACTTAAACTTTGTTATTTTTTATTAAATGAGCGATCGTTTCGCTTGATAAGACCCTTATTCATCGTCTGGAATCGTTTAAAGCCCTTTGAACAGTTTGCACTGAAACTGTCTTTTGGACCTTGAACCGTTTGGTTCCCATTGAAGTCCATTATATGGAGAAAATCCTGGAATGTTTTCATCAAAAACCTTCATTTCTTTTCGACTGAAGAAAGAAAGACATGGACATCTTGGATGACATGGGGGCGAGTAAATTATCAGCAAGAGTTTTTTTTTTTTTTAAAGTGAACTACTCCTTTAAGCATAGTAAAGTGTTCAAATTTGGCATGGTTACGTGTGTGCAATGGTGATGTTGCAGATGGAAGTAGTAGTTGACGTTAACTGCAATACCTGCTTTGTCCTCAAGTTGTCTGAATGGTTTAGTGACGGCCTCCAGCTGTTTGGTCAAGTCTGCTCTGAGATATTCCTCAGTCACCATTGCAGAGAGCTCAGAGCAAATGTTCTCTGCCTCTTTCAGCCTCTTCTTCTCCTCTCGTAGCTGAGCCAGGATTGCATTGGTGGCTTCGATCTGTTTCTTGACTTCGTCAGGTTGGGTGCTGAGAGCCTGCTGGTTATTTAGTTCAGTCTCCAGGCAGGTGGCACTTTTGCTGAGTCTTTGCAAAATCTCCTGGAACTGAGCGGTCTTACCGACGGCCTGCTCGATGAGGGCATGTCTTTGAGACAGCTGACCCGTCAAGGCCTGCCACTTCTGGGAAATAGACGCCAGCTGTTCCTGAACCGGCTCGACAGCAGGGTCCTGCTTCTCGGAGGCACTGGCGATGGCCGCGGCGGCCTCGGTTAACTTCTCATACTGAGGCTTGCGGCTGTCAAACTCCTTGAGGAGAATCTAATCAAAGGAATGACATATGACATTAAGCAATAGGCATTAAAGGAAAGTGGCATTAGACGTGTACAGTAAGTCACTATGTAACTTGAACAGAAATAATTGACCATACATTTCTTATTCTGTCATCATTCAACAAAAAAAGCATATATTAGGTAGGTCCATATTTCCAGTGTATTATGTTCCAAGTCTTCTGAAGAGAAAAGATCACTTTAAATCACTAATTACTAAACATCATATCAAATGTCAAAAGTGTGATGTGCAAATATGAGCTACTGCTGCTTTTCAAAGATGACTTAAATGACTTCAATTTTGATGTGTTCTTCACACAAAGCCATCTAACCCAGCAGGCAATTTTGTGTTGAAAATAAGTCTAATAGCTGTCCAAACCTAGCCCTGAAGTATAGGCTAAAACGAGGCTGAATTTGGGCTGTCAGTGAAAACTTAGTAGACGTCTAGTAACTACTAGACAACATTTCAAATAAATGAAAACAAACACCTTGTAATCAAAATTTTTGTTCTAGAATATTAATTCTTTTTAATTTAGTATTTTGAGACAATTTAATTGAATTAATTTATTAATAATTATTTTTTTCAAAAAAATATGAATGCAGTATTTTAGTTTAATATAGAGTCTAGGCCTTCAGAAAAAATATATTTTTTTGAAGAAAATTAGCACCCTCTGGTTACAGTATAGAGAAAAAGCGTAGAATCGTGGTGTCACCACTATATGGCATGTACAGCTCTCTATGGAGAGGCATGTGAATTCCCCAGCTGTTTATGAACACATTTTTTTTTGTTGTTGGTGGATTTGAATATATGGTTGAAACAATCTTAAAAAGCTATTTCTTATAAAAAAAAAATGGCAAAAAACAAATATTCACAATTTTTTTTTTTTTTTTTTTTTTTTACAATTTCCCATTCATTTCCTATGAAGGTCATTTTTGACCAAAGACCACAAGTGTGACTATTTTTTAAGACCACTTAGCATGCTCAAATCATGACCTCAATTTTTTGTGTGTTCACATACATAATGCCATAAAAGTCACCAAGTTTCGTAACATTGCGATGAAGCTGTGATTTTTAAAAATTCAAAACATACTTTTTGTAATCAAAATTTATTGGTGTGTATGTGTATAAAAGAGTGTTTGTATGTGTGTGTGTGTTGGAGGGTGTGCCTGTTTTCCACTCTTGATGTTGTAGAGTGTCACCCCTTTCCTGCGGTGTACTTTTTTTTATAATTGTGGCCGATTTGTAGATTGTACATACAAAAATTCAGAGAACATTTTTTTTTGTCAATTCATTTCCCATGGTCGGTCATTTTTGACAGAAGAGAACTCATTTTTTTACGACCACTTAGCCTGCTCGAATCATGACCTCATTTTTTTTGTGTGTTCACATACCCAATGCAATAACAGTCACCAAGTTTCATAACATTCCGATGAAGCTGTGATTTTTAATAATTCAAAGCATAACGTTTTTCGGTCAGAAATGACCGAAGAGCACCAGAGGGTTAACTTCAGATAACCGTTAATATTTCTTTCACATGAATTACAGTTCTTATCTATGTTTACGGCATAACTGCCCGAACCTGGACTTGCTGCTTTTGTGTGTTAAGCATGTTGGGATCCATAGACACAGAGCCCAGGACGCCCATCATCAGCTCCTTCTCCTGCAGCCACTGCGAGAGTTGTGGTTGGGTCGTCTGGAAGAGCTCCAGCATCCGGCACGACTCCTCCAGGTGCTGCTTCCCCATCTCCATGCATCCCCTGACCTCCTCCCATCCCGCATCTGTGTGTGGAGCAGAACACACATCGCTTTATCACTTTCGGCCCAACCCCTCCACTATCAGCTTGAGCTTTCACAGGAGCAAAAATGCCCCAGCACAAATCAATTCATTTAAATATATTTTGACTGCGGTGCTTAAAAGTAAATGTAAAAATGACCGATAAGTGCAGATTACAGCATTACATTTAGATCAAAGATCGCCTTTAGCGTTTCCAGACAATGCAACGGCCAATCAGAGGCGTTTAAAACAGTCACCAGTGCAGAAGAAATCAGCTGACACGCCTGTTTTGATTAAGCGCGCTGGCCTTAAACACTCTAAAAATGCTGGGTTGTTTTAACCCAACTTTGTGTCAAATATGGACAAACCCAAACATCGGGTTAAAAATGTAATTAAAAAATTGTACCCAATGGCTGGGTTTGTCCATATTTGAACCAAAGTTGGGTTAAAACAACCCAGCATTTTTAGAGTGTAATAAAAAAACTAGTGTACAATGCAAATAAGAGATTCACTGTAGAGCCCGACCGATAAAGGATTTTGAAGGCCGATACCGATACAATCCGATATTCCGATATATATCGGCCGATATTATTATTATTATTTTTTTTCAGAAACGCGCAACAAAATATAAACAGATTTCCCTAACATTAGTTATTTGTAGTTAATTATGAGTTTTAAGTAAAATATTATGATAATGCATAACTGGCTCTCTCTGCCCGACTCCGGCTGGATCAGCAGGTTGCAGGATGCGTGGCGCGTTATACACGAGTGTTGCCAACAGGGACGGTGTAGAGTGCCCTCTGGTGGACAAACTATACAACTCCAACACTCATGACATGGTTCAAGCGTGTTTCGTCCGTTTTTTTTTTTAAATATTCATTTATCGGCCATTATAACTGCCGATACCGATATTTTAGAAAATGCCTAATATCGGCCTGCCGATATATCGGTCTGGATCTAATTCACTGCACTCTGATTATAACAGTGTTTTTAGAGAAAAGCTGACTCAGTTTTGTTGTTCATGCTACTATGAGTACATTTACACGAAAACGATGTACACATTTGTTTCCTTTGCGTTTTTCGCAGTCACACACTGTCAAAACAATCCCCATTCACACGGACGCCGCGGACATGACCAACTCGCTGTGTTCTCCTGCCAGGCCAGTAGTGGGCGATGTCCCTCTGTAAAGAAACACTACGCGACTATAGACTGAAAACGTAATACACATGCACATGACGTCACCGTTATCACAAATTCATGTTTTCACAAGTGTGCACTTTCAGGCCCCCAATACACCGTTATTGTGAAGTGTTCAGCTGGAAGCAGTGTGGTGTAAACAGGCCCTGAGAGATCCAGTGTGACGTCTCGATTTGAGCAATAAACTAAATCATAAACAGCGCTCAGCTTGTTTTGTCTGTTTGTGTGCTATTAATATACATTATTAATGGTGATTACAATATCAAGATTGTTGTTTTAATCTCGCAGCTGTCTGTAATGAGTGCATGTTTTTATATTTATAACATCTTCTGACCCACATCCGTTTAAAGACTCTAAGAGGCATCAGCCTTACACCTTGTTTTTGACCTTATCAGATACAAAGGAAATGTTTAATACATTTAAAATTGAAGAGTTCAGATGCAAAAGCCTCTAAGTGCCATTTGAAATTTTCTTCTAGAATGATCATTTTTATCAAGCTTGTATGTTTAAGTTCAGTAATTTCACTTAAATGGCAATGATAATCACCTATTAATTGTTATTTAAGTGAAATTACTGAACTTAAATATACAAGTTTGATAAAAATCATCATTAAAGAAGAAAATTTCAAATGGCACTTAGAGGCTTTTGCATCTGAACTCTTCAATTACATTAATATGTAACATCACATTCGAGGAGCATTAAACAGCTCGTGTAAATAATCATAAATGCCATGTGTGAAAATATAACATTTTACTGGTAACAGCCAAGCCAACATGGCATGCCATTCTTCTGATCGGTTGAATTAATTGATTCATTTCAAGTTTTTGGCATAAAAGAGAGTGTATACATACACTAAATAAGGTGAAAACTGCCCGGTTCGCAGTGAGCGAGGGATATGTGTGTGTGTGCTGAAGGTCCACACCGCAGATGAAAGTAGATTGATGGACACATACCTATCTGTGCCAGCATGTGCTTCCACTGTTCTGCCTCGGGCCGATCCGGGTTCTCCTCCATTAAACTGAGCAAACTCTCCCTGAGCTGCTGGAGCTCAGCTTGCTTTCCTTTCATATTCTCTTCAAAAACCTGCAAGACAGACATAATAATCAGCTTTTTCAGAGCGTACAGTTTAAAGAATGTTCTTACAGTGGGAAACTCTCAAGGTTTTCATGTAGAATTGCTAGCATGACACAAAGTTTGAGCACTTTTTTCAGAATTGCTCTGCTGATTGTTGAGGAAAATCTGCAAAATTACTCGGAATGGACTGAAATATGGCAAAAAGTTCTTACTGTAACTCCTCAAACTTCACCAAACTTGCCTTGCAACAGCTTAGCAACCCCTTATATTAGCACATTAGCCAGCATCTAAAGCAGGGTTCCCCTGGGGGTTCGTGAGGGAAGTGCAGGGGTTTGATGAAAAGCTAATAATTAAATTGGATGCAAAATAGATGTGGCCGCACAATTAAGCAAAATAAAACTCAACTCGCGATATAGATTACTGCTATTATCAATCAAAGGCATGAAATAAGTATATAGTTTATGGAGTGGCACTGTCTTCATCATCTCAGAATCTCTTCACTTCATGTACACGTTTGCATAATTATCAATATTTCTGTGCATTGAAGCATATTCCACAAAAATGAACATGTGTGGATGTAAACAGTCGAAAGTGAAGAATTTAAGACATAAATACATTGTTACTTGCAGTGTAAAATAAAGACTTAATTTAAATAATATATATATAAATAAACATAATTTAGAAATACTATATATAAATTAGGGCTGTCAAATGATTAATCGCATCCAAAATAAAAGTTTGTGTTTACATAATATATGTGGGTGCACTGTGTATAATTATTTTATATATATATATATATATATAAATACACACACATGCATGTATATTGAAGAAAAAAAATATTTATATATAAAATATTGATATTTAAATAAATTATAAATAAATCTATGTACATGAAAATATTTCTTAAATATATACAAGCATGTGTGTGTGTATATATATATATATATATATATATATTAATTATACACAGTGCACCCACATATATAATGTAAACACAAACTTTTATTTTGGATGCGATTAATCACGATTAATCGTTTCACAGCCCTAATATAAATAAAAATAAATCTAAAATTATGAATTAACTATTAAAATTAAATATTTGATGTTTACTTGTCATGTGACCATTAACCAACCAGAGAACCATGAATATAGACCATTTTGCAAGATGTAAACAACACTGGTCTAGAAACACTTCCTGTTTCAGTTTGTAACTGATTTCTTTATTTCACATGTTAAGAAAACATCTTAAAGATGTTTGTTTAACTTTTTGATTCAGTTTTACATGTTCTGTTGGTTGTAATTTATCCCAGCTTTTATGTAGTGGTAAAAAACTGAAACTGGAAGTGCTTCTGGACCAGTGTTGTTTACATCTCGCGAAATGGTCTATATGTGAATAAACATGTTGTTAAATTGTTGAAATATTAACTTAAAATATGACGGGGTACTTCAAGTCAATATTTTAAGTGCAAAAATTACAAGTCATTCGACATAAAGCACACTAACGTCTTTCCTTCACCTTCTGTTGCTCGATCTGTAATTTGACGGTGTGTTTGGCAGACGGATGCCGACTCCATGATGCCGCCGTGTTCTTCGCGTCGTCCATCCACTGGCGCAGAGACTCGGCCTGTTCACGGACCGCTTGCACTCTCTTCAACACGGCGCTGAGCTGCGAGGATCGGGCCTTCAGGAGCTCCCCGAGACGCCCATAACCGCTGTTAATGCAGGACATCTTCTGCTGCACCAGCGCCAACTCTGACGGCAAACACAGATCATAGAGGTTTACATTAGCCATCATTATAGTTATTTATATCAGCAAAAACTGATGTATGAACTTTCACCTTGGTTTGTTAGATAGGCATGGCTTCCTGGACCAGAACCATTACTGACAGCTGATCCTACAGAAAAATAAATGATATATATATGGAGTTCACTGAGTGATCATGCTGGACTGAGACACGCGATAGATGTTTGGGTAAAATCTTAAAATAGTCCTTGGCAATACCTGAGTTGTGATGTATCTTGGCTTTGGCCGGTGATGTCAAAACACTGATTATGCTACATAGAGCAGATCCTTTGCTATTTATATCCTGGACGGCGGGAGCTTTGGAGGTCCACTCGTCCAGCAAGCCCTGCAGAAACAGTCATGTAGAGTTAGGAGACAATTTGACATTTTCATGATTCTGCGTTGACCTTTTGGATCATGACACACACATTCTTGAATGCTGAGCAATGCTGGAGTAACAAGGGTTAAATCACTGAAATAAACACTTTAAAACACACACACACATGATCCGCTGTGTATCCTCCTTATATGGGTGATTCTTCACAGAAATGCTTTAGGAACCTTTTTATTCGGGAAAAAAAGGATGGTTCATTTTTGTTTTTAATTACTTGTCAATGTTGATCAGTGTGACTGAATATTTGCTTGAATGATTCTATTTTGGGCTTAAACTTCTACTTTTCTATTTTTATAATACTGTTATGGAAAAAAATACAGACTGGTTGTATTTTTGGACTGGTTTATTGAGTAATTATATTTCTATATTCTCTGTAGCACTTTGAGATTGCCGAAATGTAAAGTGTATTACACACTACTACTCCACTGATACTCCACTAAAACTCCACTGATACTCCACTGATACTCCACTGATACTAATACTCCACTGATACTCCACTGATACTCCACTAATACTCCACTGATACTCCACTGATACTAATACTCCACTGATACTCCACTGATACTCCACTAATACTCCACTGATACTCCACTGATACTAATACTCCACTGATACTCCACTAATACTAATACTCCACTGATACTCCACTGATACTCCACTAATACTCCACTGATACTAATACTCCACTGATACTAATACTCCACTGATACTCCACTGATACTCCACTGATACTCCACTGATACTCCACTAATACTCCACTGATACTAATACTCCACTGATACTCCACTGATACTCCACTAATACTCCACTGATACTCCACTGATACTCCACTGATACTCCACTAATACTCCACTGATACTAATACTCCACTGATACTCCACTGATACTCCACTAATACTCCACTGATACTAATACTCCACTGATACTCCACAAATACTAATACTCCACTGATACTCCACTGATACTCCACTGACACTCCACTGATACTCCACTAATACTCCACTGATACTCCACTGATACTCCACTGATACTAATACTCCACTAATACTCCACTGATACTAATACTCCACTGATACTCCACTGATACTCCAATGATACTCCACTGATACTCCAATGATACTCCACTGATACTAATACTCCACTGATACTCCACTGATACTCCACTGATACTAATACTCCACTGATACTCCACTAATACTAATACTCCACTGATACTCCACTAATACTAATACTCCACTGATACTCCACTGATACTCCACTGACACTCCACTGATACTCCACTAATACTATATGTGTGTAATGTGTATCACTGATACTCCACTAATACTCCACTGATACTCCACTGATACTCCACTGATACTCCACTAATACTCCACTGATACTCCACTGATACTCCACAGATACTCCACTGATACTCCACTGATACTCCACTAATACTCCACTGATACTCCACTGATACTCCAATGATACTCCACTGATACTAATACTCCACTGATACTCCAATGATACTCCACTGATACTCCACTGATACTAATACTCCACTGATACTCCACTGATACTCCACTGATACTAATACTCCACTGATACTCCACTAATACTAATACTCCACTGATACTCCACTAATACTAATACTCCACTGATACTCCACTGATACTCCACTGACACTCCACTGATACTCCACTAATACTATATGTGTGTAATGTGTATCACTGATACTCCACTAATACTCCACTGATACTCCACTGATACTCCACTAATACTCCACTGATACTCCACTAATACTCCACTGATACTCCACTGATACTCCACTAATACTCCACTGATACTCCACTAATTCTTGACTAATACTTGACTAATACTCTAATGAGATTTAGTTGACATGTACAAAGTAGGTGCAGTGTTACTTATAGTTAGTATTCATGTCAAAAGTGCAATTAAGTCCATTTAAAAATAAAGTGTAATGTGATAAATGTTTCAACAAAAATTGATTACAATATATTTCGAGTACCATGAAACTTTAAATAATAACCGAGTCCCAAATAGACGCCCACCAGGCGACAGGTTTGGATAAGTCTCAGATAGAGGCCTGGTCTGTCCGTTTATCAGCCTCTGCTATTTGGATCGTTATCTCAATGAACAACATCTCAACACTAAATTAAAGACCTGTAGACCTGTCTCAAATACGAGCTGGTGCAGTGCAGCGATTGGGGAAAATGAAGTTTGAAGTTTTACGGTAGTCCAGAGGAATGTGTGCATGTAGGATGAGTCTCAGTGAGATGTGTGTGTGGACTCACAGTGATGTTGCGCAGGTGTTTCCCCAGGCCTTGTTCACTGCAGTCGGCCTCACACACCGGCACCTGCTCTTCGGTGTCCTCCAGCCACTTCATTAACACCCCTGCGTCCGCTCCGAACTCCTGCAGCTGCTTCTGGCACGACCCAACCTCCTGCTTCCTAACACACACACACACACACACAGCGTTATCAAATAGTCTGACATCTGGCAAAAAGCATTACTAATATTGCACGTATTGCAGCACTGTTTTTTACAGCACATGGTTTCTATAACAGTCCTAGCTAATCAAAACCCTCACTTTACACAATGAAATTAAAAACAGAGACACGTTACTGTTCAAAATGTTGAGTTCAGAAAGAAAGAGTTAATTTTCTACACTGATAATAATCAGAAATGTTTCTTGAGCAGAAAATCATCATATTAAAGTGATTTCTGACGGATAATGTGACACTGAAGACTGGAGTAATGATGCTGGAAATTCAGGAATAAATTACACTTTACTATACACTCACCGGCCACTTTATTAGGTACCCCATGTTAGTAACGGGTTGGACCCCCTTTTGCCTTCAGAACTGCCTCAATTCTTCATGGCATAGATTCAACAAGGTGCTGGAAGCATTCCTCAGGGAGTTTGGTCCATATTGACATGATGGCATCACACAGTTGCCACAGATTTGTCGGCTGCACATCCATGATGCGAATCTCCCGTTCCACCACATCCCAAAGATGCTCTATTGGATTGAGATCTGGTGACTGTGGAGGCCATTTGAGTACAGCGAACTCATTGTCATGTTCAAGAAACCAGTCTGAGATGATTCCAGCTTTATGACATGGCGCATTATCCTGCTGAAAGTAGCCATCAGAAGTTGGGTACATTGTGGTCATAAAGGGATGGACATGGTCAGCAACAATACTCAGGTAGGCTGTGGCGTTGCAACGATGCTCAATTGGTACCAAGGGGCCCAAAGAGTGCCAGGAAAATATTCCCCACACCATGACACCACCACCACCAGCCTGAACCGTTGATACAAGGCAGGATGGATCCATGCTTTCATGTTGTAGACGCCAAATTCTGACCCTACCATCCGAATGTCGCAGCAGAAATCGAGACTCATCAGACCAGGCAACGTTTTTCCAATCTTCTATTGTCCAATTTCGATGAGCTTGTGCAAATTGTAGCCTCAGTTTCCTGTTTTTAGCTGAAAGGAGTGGCACCCGGTGTGGTCTTCTGCTACTGTAGCCCATCTGCCTCAAAGTTCGACGTACTGTGCTTTCAGAGATGCTCTTCTGCCCACCTTGGTTGTAACGTGTGGTTATTTGAGTCACTGTTGCCCTTCTATCAGCTCGAACCAGTCTGGCCATTCTCCTCTGACCTCTGGCATCAACAAGGCATTTCCGCCCACAGAACTGCCGCTCACTGGATGTTTTTTCTTTTTCGGACCATTCTCTGTAAACCCTAGAGATGGTTGTGCGTGAAAATCCCAGTAGATTAGCAGTTTCTGAAATACTCAGACCAGCCCTTCTGGCACCAACAATCATGCCACGTTCAAAGTCACTCAAATCACCTTTCTTCCCCATACTGATGCTCGGTTTGAACTGCAGGAGATTGTCTTGACCATGTCTACATGCCTAAATGCACTGAGTTGCCGCCATGTGATTGGCTGCTTAGAAATTAAGTGTTAACGAGCAGTTGGACAGGTGTACCTAATAAAGTGGCCGGTGAGTGTATATTCACATTGAGAACAGTAATTTTAATTTGCATTAATATTTCATATTTTTTCTGCATTTTTGATCAAATAATGCAGCCAGGGTGAGCAGAAGACTGAACAGTATTCTTGCAAAAATATAAAAAAAATCTTGCCGACTGGAACACTTTAACAGTAGTGTATGTCAGAGCCAAGAGAAGATTAAACATAAATGAATAAGATCACACTATGATTTGAGGTTAGGGTTGCCAGCCGTTCCGTAAAATGAGGAATCATCCCGTATTTAAGGCATCAGTTTGTCCTGTACACACAGGCACATGCTCTAAATTGAGAATTTATCATTCTTTTGAGACAAATCATTTTGGTGGAGGGCATAGAGAGCCTAAGTCCCTCCCCTTCCGGTCGACCACCATGGGACCTTATTTCGGAAAAAAATTGAATGGAAGTCAATGGCGAGAGACAACAAATATTTTGATCTGGTTTGAATTGTGCCCTGAATTACACATATGATGTTTGTCAATTTAAAAAATACATTTTAAAGTAAAGAAAGTCGCCGTTTGATGTAAAACCGTTGGACTGTGAAAATACGTTATTACAAAGACTACAAACCCCAAAGGCGCACATTTTCTCCCAATGAATGAAGCTAACTTTACTGAGGCTAACGTCTGTCATTGTTTCTACAGTCTTACGTTATAATCGTAACGTTATGCCGCCGTCATGCCTGAGTGTTTTGTACCAGACCGCACACACACGAGCAGCGGATCTCACTCGTTGTTTCGCTTCCCGGAAGATGTAGTTCATAGAGCGATTTTCACATAAAACTAAATGTTACTCTTCTGTTGTAATTATCTTTTAAATTGACAAACATCATATGTGTAATTGAGGGCACAGTTCACACGGAATAAAAAGATAAGTTGTCTCTCGCCATTGACTACCATTCATATTTTTTCCGAAATAAGGTCCCATGAGCCGGAAGCGGAGGGGCGGGACTTATGACCCAGGAGAATCCTCTGCCGCTGGTCATTCACATCGAGCGGGACAAATCCCTTTCACTGTCCGTGAATACTCAGTACCTTTTTTTTAACGACATGACGTAATGCCTCAGACCAGCACAAGACGAACTTATTGTGGTTAAAAACTATATACATTTTTTTTTTTTTTTTGTTTCGCTAGATAAGACCCTATTCCTCAGATGGGATCGAAAGCCCTTTGAAACTGCATTGATTTGGACTTTGGAAGTCCATTGTGTGGAGAAAAATCCTGAAATGTTTCCCTTTAAAAAACGTGATTTTTTTTCCCACTGAACATCTCGGATGAGTAAATTCTCCGCAAGTTTTCATTTTGAGCTGAACTAATCCTATAATCACTTACTTCTCCATGAGTGTGTCTTTAAAAGCATTGAAGCTGTCGCAGATGTTCTGCATCTTGCTCTGGAGAAGATCTGCGCTTCCTTCAGGACCGGATCGGCCCAGTTCCTCACACAGTTTCCGTAGGGTTTCCACGTCCTCCGCACGCTCACACAACTCCGCATCTGTGTCCTACACATAGAGACTTTATTATTACAACTTAAACAGATTACAGGACACGCACAGAGAGCTGCCATCTAGAAAATAACCCTTTCATCACTTCACAGCCGTAAACCATGATTTATATCATAGACGAGTGCAAAATGAGCCGTCAATATCTTAATGAGAGAATCTAATGTTAACAAAGAATAATAACTTCAGTAACACTTCACAATAAAGTTCATTAGTGAACAAGAACTAATAATGAGCTGCACTTATTAATCTTAGTTTATGTTAATTTCAACATTTACTAACACTAACATACAATGAATGACTGTATTTAACTAACGTTAACAAAGATGAACCAATACATGAACAAATGTATTGCTCACGGTTAGTTCATAACTAATGTTAACTAACGTAAAGTGTTAGCATAACTTCTGTAACACGCATTGTTAGCTCATGTTTGCTAATGCATTAAAGGAGTAGTTCACTTTTAAAAAAACTTTTGCTGATAATTTACTCGCCCCCGTGTCATCCAAGATGTCCATGTCTTTCTTTCCTCAGTCGAAAAGAAATTAAGGTTTTTGATGAAAACATTCCAGGATTTTCTCCATATAATGGACTTCAATGGGAACCAAACGGTTCAAGGTCCAAAAGACAGTTTCAGTGCAAACTGTTCAAAGGGCTTTAAACGATTCCAGACGATGAATAAGGGTCTTATCAAGCGAAAAGATCGCTCATTTAATAGATAAATAACAAAGTTTAAGTTTTATAAGCACAAATGCTCGCCTTCTGTTCGAACTCATTCATCAAAATGAACGAATCTTTTTCCGAGTCAATTGATTCGATTCGTTGGTTGAATGAACCAAATTAATTGGAAAAAGATTTGTTCATTTTGATGAATGAGTTCGAACAGAAGGCGAGCATTTGTGCTTATAAAACTTAAACTTTGTTATTTATTTATTAAATGAGTGATCGTTTCGCTTGATAAGACCCTTATTCATCGTCTGGAATCGTTTAAAGCCCTTTGAACAGTTTGCACTGAAACTCTCATTTGGACCTTGAACCGTTTGGTTCCCATTGAAGTCCATTATATGGAGAAAATCCTGGAATGTTTTCATCAAAAACCTTCATTTCTTTTCGACTGAAGAAAGAAAGACATGGACATCTTGGATGACATGGGGGCGAGTAAATTATCAGCTAAAGATTTTTGAAAAGTGAACTACTCCTTTAACACTGGGACGTTACAGTAAAGTGTGTCCTATATCCACTATAGGCTAATAGAAGTAATATAACTGAAGCAAAGGCTTGACCTGTGTGTGTTTCAGCTCACCTGTACGAGCTGTGAGAGTTCAGCGACGCTCTTCCCGGGTCCGTCGCTCTCCGCCAGAGCCTGTGAGCTCTTCATCACGAACTGCTGCAGCTTCTCGGAGGTCTTCTCCACCCGCTCCACCCGCTCTCTGAGCTCCTCCATCTGAGACAGCTTCCGCTTGTGGCGCTCAGAGGCGTCCGTGAAGCGCTGGGACAGGCTCTCCATCCGACCGCGGAGCAGGCTAGCGGCGGCGGGATCCGCGCTCTCCACAAACGCCTGCACCTTCAGCTTCATGGCGGAGATGCTGCTCTGCCGGATGGACATGTCCTGCTCCACAGCCTGAAACACACACACACACACACTTTCCATCAACATGCATCCCTTGAGAACAAGTAAACAGGAATATCCAATTTTGGAGGAATCCAATTTTCCTTGAGCTTTTGACATCTAAGAGGTCGTCATATTATAAGAATATCCTGTAAGTTTCAGAACTGAAAACGTCCTTGTTAGTCCATTAAAAGCTTTTATTGACACCAGCCTCAGCAAACGACTCGTTTTTCAAAGTGGGGAACTATGACGTCAAAGAGGATAAAACCCCACCCCCGCAGAAGAAGATCAACGCGGCTGGTTTAGCCCCGTCCACCGATTCGTGCATTACACGCATAGCTAAATAACATAGATGCCTACCTCGTGATGACAAACCGGATCGATCTACCGAGCGATACAGAATATTGTTCAGCGCCTGGTTGTGGAAGAAGACAGTCGCTGCATAAGCTTCCTCTGGACTCCAATAGGACTAAACTTTATTTTTAATGACGTTCAGCTGATGAGGTAAAACATCGTCCGTCTGCTCGCTTCATTTCACTGAGGATTGTTTTGTACTCAAGACTGGATTTGCAGAGCGATTAAGAGTAAAGAACGGTGCTGTGCCGTCTATATTGGGTCTGACAGGAATGCTGCAACACACGGACTCTGGGTCCAACATGTATGGGCCAATCACTCCGGTCGCCATTTTACAACATTGGACGTTTTCAAAACAATTTCCCCCAAGTACACCGACGGGTGAGTCGAAACTCATTATAATATGCAAAACTGTTCTCCAATCACAGCAGTGGGCGTTTACTTCCAAGTCTTCAGTGCGAGACGCCCATAAAAACCCAGCGTTTCTCAGCTAGGCTCAAAACTAGGCTAGAAAACAGCCTATTACTTGTTCATTTGGATGTTTTTGAATGCAAAAACCAAGCGAACGTCATAAGTCGACCTCAGACAACAATATAATACAATTTAAAAAGCCACTTCATGACCCCTTTAAGGTAAGATATTATCAAGCTATTATTTTTCAAGATACATATTTTTTAACGATGTTTTAAAGAGGTCTTCTCATTATTGTGTTTTCAAAATTGAGATAAAATCTCTTCTAGTCATTTTAACCCCAAAATCATTTTCTTTAAATTGAGTGTTGACCTAAAGACTTCTGTTGCACTTGAACTTGAAATACACATAAAAGAACTGAGGAGTTTATGTGGTTGTAATCAAAATAGTAACAAATCCGTCTTTAACACTTTAACTAAGAACGAATGGGAAATGGGGAATTATTTATTTATTTAATCTGAATTAAAATCAACATTTTCAAATAAATATTCTTCAAGGTTTTGATTGTTTTTCCCCCTGCTGTCCAACTTACAAACTTCAGTATAATTACATACACTTTAGTATAAATATATACCTTAAAAATGCTAAAACAAAAAATGATTATATAATCTCTAAATATATCCCTGAAAACACACAGAAGAAAACAAAACTGAAGAAACACTGACTTTAGGACCCAGAACAGTTTGTTTGCTCCATATAGAGCTATAAGGCCATCTAGAGTCATGAAATACATTTTATATATATATATATATATATAAAGGATCTGTTTTCAATAGCTTTTAATCAGTGACAGTTTTATTGTGTGTCGCCTACGTGATGCTCTTTTCTCTCAAAAATGAGCCAAAACAGTGGCATCTAATGTAAACCCTGGTCTGAACGGTCAGTCAGATACGTTTGAATATGCCTGAAAGGTGAAAGGTCACGTACTGCCTGTTTGCTGAGAGCACTTGTGATGGAGTGTGAGTCGAGTGGCACGTGCGGCGTCTCCTTCACGCTCTCCTCCACCTTCTCCATCCAGGACATCATCTCGTCCAGCCCGTCCTGGACACTCAGAGAGCGGGTCAGGGTCACCTGCAGCTTCTCGTGGCGGTCGCTCACACACTTACACAGGTTATCGTATCTCTCCGCCACGTCGTCTACAAACACAAGCAGGTTCACACATGCTTTATTCACGTGTTGTTCAAGCGGCCTAAGCTCTGAAAACTAAAAATACAAGTAGAAGGAACTGGAAAAAATACAGGCGAAACTCCAATAATGAGAAGATCCTGCTAAAGTTCAGTAATTCAACTTAAAAGGTGAAACTAATATATTATATAGACTCATTACATGCAAAGTGAGATATTTCAAGCATTTATTTCTTATAATTGTGATGATTATAGATTACAGCTTACGAAAACTAGAATATTGTGAAAAGGTTTTCATATCTGTAAGCCATAATCTTCACAATTATAACAAATAAGGGCTTGAAATATCTCACTTTGCATATAATATATTAGTGTTCACCTGTAAATATGAGGGAAATAGCTAAATAAATCCTTGTAAGCAATAGTAATTTACATAAACTGAGTATAAATGAATTTCAGCTTGTATAAAGAGGCAGAGCATGCTGGAGTGATGAATGAGGAAGAGGAGTCCACTGTCCTACATCAGCACTGAGAGGAAGCAGAGCAGGCTTGTGTGAATGTGAATGTGCAAATGTTGGTCAAATAAGATGTTTTTCTGCTATTGGCAACGAGATTAATAAAAATGGTTTGGTTTGGTTATAACTCTGATGTGTTTTAGCTTCTAAATGTGTCATTTTAGCATGCATAGTTTAAACTGTAACATGTTTAAATATCATGTTTGCACTTAATTTTACAGAAATGTTTGTATGTGTTTTTTTTGTATTCGTGATTCGGGGGCTCTGAATTGTGAAACACCATTGAAACGGCTTGTTGCGGATGCGAAAAACGCAGAAAATCGAACCCGATGCGATTTTTTTAATGCCGGACAAGAGTTTCGGAAGTTTTTAAATATTTCGACTTTAATCTTGAAATGTTGCGACTTTATTCTCGAAATGTTTCAACTTTAATCTCTAAATTTTTCGACTTTAATCTTGAAATTTTTCGACTTTAATCTTGAAATGTTTAGACTTTATTGTCGAAATGTTTCGACTTTAATCTCGAAATGTTCCGACTTTAATCTCGAAATGTTTCGACTTTAATCTTGAAATGTTTCGACTTTAATCTTGAAATGTTTCGACTTTAATCTTGAAATGTTTCAACTTTAATCTAGAAATTTTTCGACTTTAATCTTTAAATGTTTCGACTTTATTCTCGAAATGTTTCGACTTTAATCTCTAAATTTTTCGTCTATAATCTTGAAATTTTTCGACTTTAATCTTGAAATATTTCGACTTTAATCTTGAATGTTTCGACTTTAATCTCAAAATTTTCCGACTTTAATCTCCAAATTTTTCGACTTTAATCTTGATTTTTTTTTACTTTAATCTTGAAATGTTTCGACTTTATTCTCGAAATGTTTAGACTTTAATCTCGAAATGTTTCGACTTTATTCTCGAAATGTTTCGACTTTAATCTTGAAATGTTTTGACTTTATTCTCGAAATGTTTCGACTTTAATTTAGAAATTTTTCGTCTTTAATCTTGAAATGTTTCGACTTTATTCTCAAAAAGTTTCGACTTTAATCTCGAAATGTTTCGATTTTAATTTTGAAATGCTAGATTTTTTTTTTTTTTTTTACGTTGCGGTTCAGGGCTTCCGTAATTTATAGTGCTACCACTCTCATGGTAGTATATAATACTGCTTGTTTACTGCGTGCTGATTTAAAAAAATACTTAATAAAGAAATTAATAATAAAAAAAACATACTTTGATTGACACCAGAACATATGACGCATATTTTAAAAACACATCGCAAACACTAAAACGTCTTTTAAAGGCGTTTTATAGTGCACTGAAAATAAATGGTAACCTAGTGAAAAACCTAGTGATATTACAGTAATGGCATTTTACATTAAGAGATTGGAGATTTTGCGTTATTGTCTTCACGATCTTAACTTTGGTTTTAGACCTTTCCGCTTGTGGTGTGTTTTTGCGAGACTGAATGTGGACTCACCGACGGCCTCCTGAATCTCCTCAGGATTGGACAGCAGTTCTCCCTCCGCAGAGATCAGGGCGTCACATGACCTCCTCAGCGTATCCAGCACAGCCTGATGGGACGCCGTTTGCCCTTGAAGACTCTGGAACAGACCAATGCTTATTACAATCCACTAATAAGAGTGCAGTCAATAGCCTGGTTATCTTAAAGCACAGCATCAGTGGTGTGTGTTTTTTGCGTTCATGTGAGACAGTGGCATTATAAAAGGTTGAGAAGGTCAGAAGACAGTCGTACTGCACATTCCTAGAGAAAGTAATGACACATCTCTCTGCGTATCTGATCTCGCTGGATGTGGTCTGAGTGCATCATGGGAGACGTAATCTATTTAAGTGTGATTAGCTTTCTCTGCTTCTCTATTTACCTTCGCAAGAACAACTAGCTTTAGTGCGTCACAAGTAAATTAAATCTGTGCTTAGTCTTCAGAGCTATAAATACACAGAAAAAGAGAAACGACCATGCATTTTTATAATGTTCTACTGGACAATTATGATTTTGTTCAGTTTATCTAAAAGCATATAACACTCCACAGATACATTTTGTTTAGATGGTATTTTTGATTGACGCATATTTTAAAAACACATCGCAAACACTAAAACGTCTTTCAAATGCATTTTATAGTGCACTGAAAATAAATGGTAAATGGTTTTCAAGTCAAAAATGTTATTAAATATTGCTGAATCAACCTAAATGCATTCATTTATACAAACAAAATAAATTGAGGTTTTTAAGCTCAAAATTGCTGGTTACCACTTTTTACAGTTTGAGGATGACCTAAAGTATGAAATTAAGCGAGTATATGAAATAATACCCATAATATTTAGTTTGAACTCATAATATTTTTATGAGTTCAAACATGATATGTGAACGACACTCAGGTCAGTCGACGGGCCAATGAATGCTGGATCGTCAATAAAGTTTAAGCCTTGCCACTTGAAATATTCCAGCGCAACTGGGTTATCATAATTTACCCGGGGTTAACAAATGACCCTGGGTGTTCATACTCTGGGTTACCCAGGGTTAACGTTCTTATTTGCATATTTGCAGTGTCAGTATCATTGATTGGCACTGAATTCGTACTGGCTCTAGCATTTGTTTCCTCGTATTTCAGACTAGAGCCCGACCGATAAAGGATTTTGAAGGCCGATACGATACAAATATTTTTTGGTTTTAAAATCCGATATTCCGATATATCGGCCGATATATATATATATATTTTTTTTTTTTTCAGAAACGCGCAACAAAACATTAACAGATTTCCCTAACGTAGTTATATATATATGAGTTTTAACTAAAATAATATGATAAAGCATTTTAAAAAGAAACTTGTTTCTTTTATTGTCACAACAGAACAGAGGAACATCAAAATATATTAAAGTTCTGATAAATAAAATAATAATTAGTCCCTACATTGCCTTATAAGCTACCTTATTACAATGTCAGGTTAGCTAGTCTATGATGAGCCATAATTTAGCAATAGATAACATCATACTGCAAATTGTAAAACATACATTTTCAATATAACAGGCCAAGGAGAGATGATTGAAGTGTGTTTCGTCCGTTTTTATTTTATTTTTGAAATATTCATTTATCGGCCATTATAACTGCCGATACCGATAGTTTGGAAAATGTCTAATATCGGTCTGGCTCTATTTCAGACTATCAAGTTTACACTGAATCGTCCTTTCAGACTATAAAGGCAAGAATAAAACGGTCTATTCTTCACTCCAAATGACGTGTTTCCAGTCACCATTTGACATTTTCAATTCGAACACTGAAACGACGGTTTATATTCAATGCACTGTGTTTTTTTAATGACTGTCTAAAGCTTGTGAATATGAGGCACGTGATTGGCTGTCAGTGGCTAAGCACTGCATCATTGCGCACTGTATAAGTTTAGCAACACAATGTGGAGATAACAGCACAGAAGAGACGCTACTCCTCATCAGGAGCAGGGTTTCATCACCTGACCCGCTTTTAAATCACAAATATGAAATGCTCTACGACAGTGTGTTCATGCCTTGGTCTCCTCCAGCTGTCTCTGCAGGGTTTGTGGGTCTCCGGCGATGGGCTCGGACTGCTGTCTTCGGGACTCGTCCTCAGAGACGCTGAGCCACTTCACCAGAACACCACTGGCATCTTCATACTTCTTGAACTTGTCCACCACGTCTTTGAGATTGTTTCCGAGCTGATTACACTGAAACGCACAAGTTTACAGTTTATCATCTCAAATCAAAATTTTCATTTTTAATTATTTATATTAAAAACATTGGAAGGAATAGGTCACTTAAAAATGCTAATTCTGACATCTTTTACTCCCACTCAAAAGTATGAATTTCTTTCTTCTGCTGAACACAAAGGAAGATATTAAGAAGCTGACGACCCCATTGATCTCCACAGTATTTATTATTCTCCTATTGAAGTCAATGGGGTCCAACTGTAAGGTTACCAACATTTTTCTCTTCTTTATCTTCCTTTGTGTTCAGCAGAAAAAAGAAACTCATACAGGTTTGAAACAACTTGAGAGTAAACTTTTCCTTTAATAATGTAACGACAGGGTATGTTTGCTGAATTACAACCATTGAGAGACAAATGCTGCCATCTATTGGTTGTAATTATAAAGTGGTTAATTTCCCATACAGCTAAACTAACTTAAATGTGTGTCTGGAAAATGTGATATTTTTGCAATGTTCCTGAGATAAAAATGGTCTTTTTTAAAGGAGTAGTTAACTTTTTAAAAAAACTCTTGCTGATGATTTACTCGCCCCCATGTCATCCAAGATGTCCATGTCTTTCTTTCTTCAGTCGAAAAGAAATGAAGGTTTTTGATGAAAACATTCCATATAATGGACTTCAATGGGGACCAAACGGTTCAAGGTCCAAATGAGAGTTTCGGTGCAAACTGTTCAAAGGGCTTTAAATGATTCCAGACGATGAATAAGGGTCTTATCAAGCGAAACGATCACTCATTTGATAAATAAATAACAAAGTTTAAGTTTTATAAGCTCAAATGCTCGCCTTGCTCTGTCCTGTGATGCGCGTTCGTGACTCTCCTGTTCATCAAAATGAACGAAATGACTCGGAAAAAAATTTGTTTTTTTGATAAACGAATAAAACCCCTTATTCATCGCCTGGAATCGTTTAAAGCCCTTTGAACAGTTTGCACTGAAACTGTCTTTTGGACCTTGAACCGTTTGGTTCCCATTGAAGTCCATTATATGGAGAAAATCCTGGAATGTTTTCATCAAAAACTTTAATTGCTTTTCGACTGAAGACCATCTTGGATGACATGGGGGTGAGTAAATTATCAGCAAAAGTTTTTTTTTTTTTTTTAAGTGAACTACTCCTTTAAGTTTAATGATGGGGTACCTGGACAGAATCTGCCACTGACTCTACATAAGATGGAAAAGAGCATTACCTGTGTGTGCAAGGCTTTGTATCGAGCGGCAGCAGAATCCAGCTTTTCTGTGACTGCAGAGCAAGTCCCGGACATATCAACCACCGCCAGGCCGTCCGTCCCCCCAGATCCCCCGCGGTCGCAGGCCTTCGCCGCGTCCAGCACCTTCTGGCCCGAGATGGTAATGAAGCGCAGGTCTCCTTTATGAGAGATGACATCTTCAGAGAAACTCTTCTGTCTCTGTAGATGATTCCTCAGAGTGTCCAGACTGGCCGCGGGCGTCCCCAGCTCCTCCACCTGCCCGTGGGCCTGCTGGAGCCACGTCTCGAACTCCTCACAGTCCCCCTGAAACTTCTGCAGCTCCTCCTGAACCGTCTGCATGTGCTTCATCTGCTGCTCGGCCTGCGTGAGAGAGGACTCGTAGCGGCCCTTCAGCTCTTTGATGTCCCTCTGTAGCTTGTCTTTTTCCGCAGGGGACAGGACCTGAGCCTGTTTGTCCAGTAAGGCCTGCGCTGACTGTGTGGCGATGATCAAATCCTGCTGCTGGGACAAGATCTCCTGGTGGTGAGCCTGTGGAGAATGGAGGGCTTAATAAGTCTTAGTAAGTATTAAAAAGTACTGTTGAGTTCAGATAATTGCATTAAAAAAATTGTTTTAACTATGAAACATTTTCAATATATTGCAATTTTTAAGCAGTTAAGATACTATCACACATGCTGGTTGATTCAAGCAGATGAGGCTGAAATTAATTTTTGGTATGTTTTATCTGACCTCGAGGGCATCCAAGATGTAGGTGTCTTTGTTTCCGCAGTAGTTCCAATTTTGATAATTTTAGGTCAAACCGTTGTTGTCTGTCAGTCATATAATGGAGGTCTATGGTCACCACCTCAAAGAGCATGCACAGAGAAGTCCAAATTAAACATGATTTAATGACTCGTAAATTTAAGTACACATTTATGGCCTAAGACACGAAACGAGCGGTTTGTGTGAGAAAACTAACAGTATTTATATCGTTTTACCTCTTTAAACCACAGCCACGTCCAAGTGATCTCTCGCGCGGTTGCAAAAGAAATTCAACGTTGTCTGTTGATAAATCGAAATCGTCTTCCATTGCGATTTCCTGTCTAAATATGTTCAGATTTTCACATTGAAGGGCAACACTTCTGAAATCTGTGTAAACAATGAGTGACGTACACGCGCGAGAGAGATCACTTCCAGCGCTTACGCAGACCGAAGCGCCCGCGCCCTCAGATCAGTTGGACGTGGCTGTGGTTACAAGAGGTAAAACGATATAAACACTGTTGGTTTTCTCACACAAACCGCTCGTTCCGTGTCTTAGGCCATCAATGTGTACTTACATTTACGAGTCATTAAATCATGTTTAATCTGGACTTCTCTGTGCATGCTCTTTAAGGTGGTGACCATAGACCTCCATTATATGACTGACAGACAACAACGGTTTGACCTAAAAATATCAAACATTTTAAATACTGCGGAAACAAAGACACCTACATCTTGGATGCCCTTGAGGGCAGATAAAACACACCAAAAATTAATTTCAAAGTGAACTATCCCTTCAAAGATCAGTTCAAAGAAAGAATCAAGAAACAAACGGAGATAATCCAATAAACAGACGACAATAACATCCAGGCAGCAACACAAAGAACAGAAGCTAACTGAGGATATAAACACACAGTCAAACAAAGAGCAAATGAAAAAAGGTGATTATCAAGGCACAGGTCAATGGGATGAAACACACACACGGGGAAAACTGGGTCAAAGGGTCAGAAAATAAACAAGATTCATGACAACTACATTTAGTTTAGTATTTAAATAAAATCAGTAATAATTACACTTGTATGCTGAAGTGTGCTTCTGTTTCACAAGGGTATGAGAAGGAACTAGGGTAAATAAATACTGAAGTGCTTACTTGAACTCGATCATACTGCTGGTCCAGGTCCAAGACTTTACCGTCTTGCTTTTTGCCGGTATGTAGACTTGTGTTATCTGTAGCGTCTAATGCATTTCCATTAGGATCATCTCCCTCGCCGATAATCCTCTTCACGGACGTGTACTCGGGCATGTTCCCGTTCTGTTTACCCGTCTGGTCCTTTTGTATTCCACCCATTTCTTTCTCTTTCCCAATGTTGGAGATCCAGCCTAGAAGACCTTCAATTTTGGTTTTACTCTCCTCGAGTTGTTCAACAGCTGCTACCTGTATTGTTGCAAAATCGAAGACGAAATAACTATGATTTACTGAGAATAGTCACAAAAATCCAAACACACCTTGAAATAGTTAAACTACCACTTGAGTAGTGTTTGGGAAAGTGTTTTCCCCCTAACCTTCTCAGTCTCCTGCTTGATAGCACTTGTCAAAACCTTCTCCAGATCCTTCCTGGACTCTTCTGCCTTCTGGTTGAGCATGTTGGCCTTGCTCTTCAGCTCTTCCAGTTTGTCCTCGAGAGCCGATATCTGCTCTGGAGTGAGTTTACTGCGATTCTCCTCCAGAAACTTCTTCGTGCTGCTGATGACTTCATTGAGGGCACTGGCATTAGCCTGCAGGTCTTTCTGTAGAGCCTGAGAGACCAGTATAGAGAATGAATCTTTAATATTCAACAGATAAAAACAATATAACACATAATGAATTGCAACAAGCCACTGTGTTAAAGTAATTTAACCTCGGGTAAAGGGTTAAAAGAGTAGTTCACTTTTAAAAATTTTTTGCTGATAATTTACTCGCCCCCATGTCATCCAAGATGTCCATGTCTTTCTTTCTTCAGTCGAAAAGAAATTAAGGTTTTTGATGAAAACATTCCAGGATTTTTCTCCATATAATGGACTTCAATGGGAACCAAACGGTTCAAGGTCCAAAAGACAGTTTCATTGCAAACTGTTCAAAGGACTTTAAACGATTCCAGACGATGAGTAAAAAATGAGCGAATCTTTTTCCGAGTCATTTGGTTAATTCAACGAACAAAACGAATGAATTGACTCGGAAAAAGATTCGTTCATTTTGATGAACGAGTTCGAACAGGAGAGTCACGAATGCGCATCACAGAACAGAGCAAGGCGAGCATTTGAGCTTCTAAAACTTAAACTTTGTTATTTATTTATTAAATGAGCGATCGTTTCGCTTGATAAGACCCTTATTCATCGTCTGGAATCATTTAAAGTCCTTTGAACAGTTTGCACTGAAACGGTCTTTTGGACCTTGAACTGTTTGGTTCCCATTGAAGTCCATTATATGGAGAAAATCCTGGAATGTTTTCAACAAAAACCTTAATTTCTTTTCCACTGAAGAAAGAAAGACATGGACATCTTGGATGACATGGGGGTGAGTAAATTATCAGCAAAAGTGTTTTTAAAAGTGAACTACTCCTTTAAAATCAATAATCGCCACAAATTTAGTAGATTCATCTGCCTCCATTTGAGATGCCATTGGTTGAAGCAAAGACTTTACTTTTTTTCTCATTATGTTTCACTTTTGCAATTGGGAAACAAAGACTTCAATTGCATGCCAACTTTAACAAAGACCTCTAATAACTTCTTTAACTGTATGTAATATAAGTACAAGTGTGAGCAGGTTGTACCTGATGCTCTTGCTGGTATTGCTGGAGGTCTCCCACACTCTTGGCACTGACCGCCTGCTGCTGGTGGCCAATCAGTCGGTTCTCCGTCTGTGTTAGATCATCAAACAGCTCCTGCAGCTTTTCTGAAAACTCCCTCTGCTTCTCCACAGCGGCCTAGCACATCAGCGTTCAGTTAGAGAAGAAACCACAGCATCAAAGCAAGCACAGAGCATTCAACCATTAGCAGCCAGTGACTGAGTATGCTGTAAACATGCCAGCCATTCAAAGAGAATTTGGCAATGGTAAAGAGATGTTGGTTAGTGCTGCCTTTACTGCTAGAAAGCATATCCACATGTAATGAAGTTTAGGTCCTTTGGTAGTAAGAGCTGAACAGGGTCAGGCAGCCTGAACAATGCGAAGAAGGTAAGTTGGTGGCAGTGATCAAGCCATGGCTTTCTGTGTTGTACATAAACAAATAGATTCTGATTAAAATCTGCAAAAGACAGAGCAACATTTTGAGCATCACACACACACACACACACACACACACACAATGTATTCATGATTTGTCTTGACAATATCATAATGAAACTCTTTTGAAAAAAAAATAACAAACAATATTCATTACTCATCTAAAAGGGTGTATCCATGTTTTGGTCCAAAGAATGACATTTTTTAATTTAAATTGGCTCTAGCATAGCAAGTAGCAGTTCATAGTTCATAGCATAAACTAAACACTATCTTTATTTTACAAGAATGGCAAATTATTTAAGATTTCCTCTACCAATTTCTTATTTCAAAATTAAATATATTGGCGCAGGAAAGAAAACTGAACACATGTCACTTTTTGGGTTAACCCTCTGAGGTCGGCTTAATGTGAACGATTAGGAGGATGATTTTCAGAAAAAACTCCAGGCCACAACATCAATTAGTCAAGTCTTGTGGACGCATATTTCGTACGTGTTTTGTGGCCTTATTTCAGAAACTTTCATTTTTAGTTTTTTCAATAACCACACATAAACAATATTCTCTCAAAAATACATTTACATACATGTTGCTCACATATTATGGTAGCCCTGTTTGTGCTAAATATAGTGTAATTTCACCTGTGCCATTAATATGTTTGAAAAGGCACAAATGTCAGGCATGTCAAAACATCTCAAGCACCCCAAAAACACCTTGAACCCCAGAGGGTTCACGTCAAAACACACCACACATCAAATCAACCACTTTTAGAAGCATCTCCATGCATTTTCATGTGAAACGTCAACGGTCAGTGTGATCTCTCTCAAACCTGCTGCCGACTCTCATCCTCACGGATCTCCAAGTGGACCTCCAGAGTTTGTCTCCGAGTGAACACTCTGTCCGTGAGGTCTTTGAAAGATCTCTGGGTAGTGCTGAGAGCCCTTAGAAGATGTCTGCTGTGAGCAGGACTCAGGAACTGAGCATGCTCAGAAATGAAGTTTTGGATATCAAAAGCAGCATCTTCCAGGAGCTGTCGGGTTCCTGACAAGTCCTTCTCTGTGTCCTGAATCAGGAACAATAAAGAACACTAAGTAAAACTGTTCAGATGATGACTTCATTTGATGTGGAAGGATATAATGTCACCCTTGTATTTTGGGCAACTTTATTAATACGTTCCAAGACAACTTACCTTAATTTGCTGAATCTTGATCTTAATTCTTTCTGTGTCATCAGTATCCATGATATCAAGCTTAGACACCCTCGCAGAATCATCTTGTATACAAGCTGATATCTTATCAAGAGAGCTTACCAAATCCTGATAGGAGCTTTCCAATTGGATCTGTAACCCATATGTGAAAAAGTGTAAGATAATCTGATTTGCATTATTCTATATTTACTCTTAAGCCTTCACTAACCTTCACTGTGTCAATGGCTAGTAGAATAGCATTACTTCGCTCAGCTGACAAGTAGCAAACATCTCTGTAAGCATTCTGTATATCTACATAGACCGCGGCCAAATCTTGGTGGATTTGCATGGAAATGAGTTCATCAGCAGAATTCAGAAGTTGCTCTGCTACGATCAGATCTGCTGTTAGTACGTCAGGGAGAGCAGCAATCTGTCTTTCCAGAGACTAGAAACAGAGTGTGTGGAAGTAGTTGAGGAACAAGAGAAAGCAATTGTGAAGAAGAGTGACAGAATAAGAGGAATAGGCAACAGGCTACAGTCGAGAAAGAAAGTATTAGTAAAAAGCAGGAGTATCTGGGGTCTGCGGGTCATGAGAAAGTGGAGAGATAGCCTTTTTATTATTTTATAAGTGACAAACCTGAACTTCCTCAAACTGACAATGCAAGCCCTCAATGTTTTCTGCTAAGGAACCACTGCCTTGCAGGCCGCTTCTTATATCTTCAAGAGTATCGCAATGATCCTGAAGTCTCCCGACCCATTCCAAGTAATTCTGGGTGGAATATCTCTGCAAAAAGTGCATCATTATACTTACACCTTGATATCCAAACATGCACTTGGATGATAATGCTTTGGAAATTAGCATTAGTAGCAACACTCACTCTGGGTTTTACTTCTTCTGCCTGCCTTATGTTTGGACAATCGGCCACAGAGACCTGGAAGTTAGAGTTGGTGGTATCATCTGTGGTTGGGATCTTGTTTTTAGCATCCATACTTTCATCTGCAAGGACAGTGTCTCCCAAAAGACCCACATCCTTGAGCATTTCTTGACCTCTACTAGTGGAGATGCCCTGAATCATATCCAGTACATCAGTCTGACGCTTTGATTCATCATTACTCTCAACTTCTCTTGAATCGAGTCCTTCGTGTGTTTTCAAATCCAGGAGGATATCTGGATCCCTGATTCTCTCATTTGAGCTGGGATGATTGGCTGGAAATGTAAGTATAACGCCATTAATGGCTTGGCCTTGTTTTTGAGTTTCGTTCACACTTGCTCCATCCATCTTCATTTGGATGAGCTCATTTAAGAAATCCCTACTTCCCATTGATTCTGGTGCACTTTCATCTGTGGCCCTTGCCATTTGAGGTAAATGAAGGTTATCTTGGAGTGCATCTTCAGCAACCACTGTATCTCTACCCTGAGACTGTTTGAAGATGTCCTCACTATTCTGATCAAGAATGGCTCTGACAGTAGGACTCGGCTTTTGGGGGTCAGTCTGCAATTCATTGGATTCTGTGTACATCTCTTCTGAACAATGACCTGAAGTGTCTACGAAGTATTTTACATGTTTATCATTGCCACTTTTAAAGTCGGAATCAGCTGATTTGGCTATTGCAGTGTCCTTTGAGGCTACTTCATAACAACACTTGCTTTGCTCGCTTGGGTGTTGTGTTTTACCTCCGCTTGAATCATCTTGACTAGAGTTAATAGCAATTTCAAGAGGTAATGGCTTGGGATTTACTGTTGATCCAGCTAAATCCTTCAAGTTGAGTTGAAGTGTGTTCTCTGATCCTTTGAAACCTATAGAGTTGTCAATGTCACCATTTTGCTCTACATTACAGTCAATACTGCTTTCTGTACAGATCCCTCTAGGCTCAGGTGTTGTTATTGGTGCATTTCTGAACATTTCGGACATTTCCTCATAACTAACCGAGACATTTACTCTGTTCTCTGTGAAAAATGGTACTGGACCCTCATCAGAATGCTCATGATTTGTATTATTGGAGTATTCAGCTTCATATGATTTATTGGTCTGAAACGATACTTTCTCATTCAGCGAATTTTGAGCTAGTACACAGTGACCATCAGTACTTAAATTCACCTCGGTTGCAATCTCCATTGGTGATGGGATATTTGCTCCATGTAAATCTGCTTCTGCTAGTGTTTTAACATTTGGTGGCAAAGTGCTCAAGCTCCCCGAGAGCCCTTTGTCAAAAAGTGTGTTTGTTATCGCAGACTCCACCTTGGACCTCTTGAATTCCGGTTCAGGATTAAGTACACTCTCTGATTTTCTTTGATCAGAGCAAACATCACTTTGTGACGAACATGATATCGCAGAGCCACTCTGTACAGGGATAACAACTTGACTGGCTATAGTCTCAAGATATGCCCCCTCTCCGACACACGATGAAGGACTTCCAGTTTCACAAGAAACACCAACGACAAAGGTGTCATTTGGCCTTTTTGATTCATTTCCTTCCAAAGTGAAAATGCTTTTTCTTTCATTTGTGGTGCTCATCTCATTGTTAGTATCCATAGTCTTGAAACGTACACCACAATCCCCCCCTAATCCAAGAGTCTCGGATACATCATCATACACAGTATCTTTAGACGGACCGTCACAAATGCTGGATAGCAGAAGATCCTGACTACTGCTCACACCTGATATGTCTGTAGATTCCTGCATGGTTTCATCTGATCTTGAGCTTATTTGACCTCCTTTTGCTGAGTCAAGCGCCATAATGTCTAGCCTTTCGTCCTGCTGTGAATGTTGCATTATCTCAGGCTCTTCATCATCCAACATTCCCGACTGGAGGGCATCATTTACACCGAGCACACACTTTGCCTCTGGATCAATGCTGAGTGCCTCTGAACAGAGAACACTTCTGCTAATATCATCAGTAATCAGACCCCTCTCTAAAGCATCACAAACGCTAATGGTTTTTCCAACTGCTGCATCATAGAAACCACGCTTTTCCATGATCTGTAGGGCTATTTTACTTGAGCCTTTGTTGACAAAAGTGTTCAAAACTGACAATAAATCACTTTTGTTATCTTTCAAACCATCCCCTTTAAGCTGCAACGCAAGTATCTCGAAGACAGTCTCTTCATCAATAAGGCCTTTATCATGAGCACCTTGAAGGTCATACCGTTTTCCAGAGGTGACATCTAAAATCCCATCTTCCTCTACTTGTGCCCTAAGAAGATGGACGGCGTAATCTCTGTCACCCCACACATCGTCTGTGTGAGGGAATTCAGAGGGTATATCAGTATAGTTGGTTGTTTCACTGGCACTCAAATGTTTTTCTCGGCCGTTAACGACATCATCACATTCAGAATCAGCTACTATCGAGCACAAGCTTGTGGCAGTTGCTGCTATAGAAAAGGCTGTATGTGGTAACTCTGTGCATGAACATGCAGAAACCTCAGGCAGTTTGTTCATTTCAATTACAGTCCCATGTTGGAAACCATTCTGATCTGTTGCTAAGGTGTTTCCACCAGAGTCAACGGGTAGAGTAGGCTCTAGGTAATTGTGTAATACGTTTACATTCACTACTTTATGTTCTTCTTCTGTTGGGTTTTCCAAAGGTTCACAAATTTGCAATTCTCCCAACACATCATAATCAGTTTCCAGACAATCGTTGTCAGTGTTAGGGATGCAGCTGTTCAGTGCAGACTCTTCGGAAATATTATCCACATGAAGGCCGCTAATATCATCTGATGCTTCAAAGAGTAATTTTGCCATTTTATTTAACTGGTGGTCAAAGATCAACAGCCTTTGGCCTGACGTTGGATCCATATAGCTATTCATCATGAGGTAGGAAATAAACAACTGTTTGGCCTCAGAGAGAGATGGCGCATCTGTGCTGTTTTTGTCACTCGTTTCTTCACCGGATGTACAAGATCCTTCCGTTTGTAGCTCCCGCATTACCAGCCATGATGAGAATCTGTTATTCAGTTCAGGTAAAACATCTGGGATTTCTATTGTCTTCAACAACTCTTTTGTAAACGTCTCAATCAAGTTATTCTCCACGGCAGAGTCGACATCAACTACCTCAGAGGTTTCAGGTACGTACAAGGCTGTTATGTTCTGCCGGTTATGCAGCAGTTCCCATGCAAGTTTTTCCGTGATTATATTTTGCTGAAGAGAGGTGGAGAAAGAGAGGATTTCACCAGCGTTGGGCCAAAGGAGACCCATGAATGCTTTCTGTCTCTCCAAAACTAACAACGCACTGCTCGAGCTAATTAAGTCACACTGGACGGCCTCGTCGACTGTAAGTCTCGCCCCGTTGCAAGGATTAACGATGCCACCATTTTGGGTCTGATGGCTTAATATCTCACTTGCAGTGTCCAGATCAATCAGACCCTCAGATAAGGCTTCCTCAACGGTCAGCTTTTGGCCGGTGTTGGGTTCAACTATGCCTCCTGCAAACTCGCGCATAGCTTTCATAACATTAATCTCTCCCCCAGATATAGTTCCATCTTTTCCACATTTCACCGGAAGCAGGCGAAGTCTCGTCGGCTCGTGAATCAGGCTCCTCTTCACGAGCTGACTAAGTGTGACTCTTTCTGCAGTGTTGGGGTCAATCAAGTCCTGCCAAGTGTCCTTTCTCTCTGACATCTGGGTAAAGAGTGAGTCGGGTATCAGGCCAAGTTGAAAAGCCCTTTCCAGATGTAGGATATCACCGGTGTATCTTAACCCTCCAGTCGCTAGCTGGATTTCAATGATCTTTATAGCTGTTTGCACAGATATAGCCCCATTTTCCAGGGCTGCAACAACTGGCAATGGTTCTAACGCAAACTGGGGGTCCTGAACACATTTTTTAGCTTTATCCAAGTCTTCCAGTTGCTTGAACATTGTGTAATCCACAAGATTGTTCTCAAACGCATCCTCCAAGTCCATGCACAAGTGCCGTTCAGGCCAAATGATCCCATTGGTTATAAGTTGAGCCTCTAGTAGACCAAGTCCTGTGTTCTGGTCAATGAGGCCATTGATGACCGAGCAACACACAGACATGACAGCTCCACTTTCAACATCCAGAATCCCTTGAATGACCTGCGGTGCCTGGAAAGAGATTAAACAATGTTCAAAGGATGTTCAAACATAATCATTTTGATAACAATATTGGTTGGAAATAGCATCAAACATACTCACCCATCAGTCATTGTACAAGTCATCAGAAAGAGAAATGGGATGCAATAAAAGCTTACATGCATCTGTGAACAGAACTCTCAGTATTTTGTAGAACAACACAGTTAGAGAAAACACGCAGAGCATTATGTTATAGTGTGCAGTGTGGTGAACCTCATGTAGACAGGATAAAGAGTATCCTGCTGTGAAGAAAGAGTGAGACTGGCTGACATGCAAGGTATGTTTACAGCATACTCAGTTTTAAAACACACACAAAACGAGTACTTTTGCAGTAGTTTTTGGAAACGGTCTTACCATAAGCTGTCAAAACAAATATTAGTCATGCAGCTGGAGAGAGTTTTTACACACAATAAACGCAGAATATCCCACCTGATCAGCTGAAGACGTCGCATCCGCACACTGTTGCGAGAGCTCGCTGTAGGCCTGATGAAGTGATTTGAGCTGCTCTTTTGCCTCTTGCTTTTCTTCTTCTGTCATTCTAGTAAAAGAGCACATGAAAATGAGAAAATAAGTTAAACAAAACAAATAAACAATGCCACAATGAAGCCCTGTCGACATTATAACGTACTTGTCACTGTGTTTGGTTAGGATCAGCTGGGTCGTTTTCAACGCTTCTCCAATTTGTTCCTTCTTTGTCACCATCTCCTCCATTGACATCTATAATGTAATATAATAATGCACAGTATGCATTAGATTAGCTGCACTTTGAAAGCCACTTCATCCAACATCTACTGTAAGATATTCAAACATCTGATATCAGATCAATGTTTTTAAGCAACCTCTCGCTATATGATTTGCAGGAAAAAATGAGGATATGCCGAGTTCCATGATTTAATATTATAATGGGTTTCAGAAGTTTGAGACCACACTCAAAACCTGGGATTCAAAATCCAAATTAACACAGAAAACAGACGTTTTGGGATTTTGAATATGTTAAAAAATTATGTAATTTCCATCCATTCGCTCTTTTATCCTCTTTAAGATACTGGAGCCTATCCCACACACACCTACGGACAATTTAGAGTCTCCAGTTCACCTATGGCGCTTGGACTGTGGGGGAAACCAGAGCATGAAACCCATGCAAACACACGGAGAACATGCACACTTCACGGATAAATGCATACAATTTAAATGTAATCATTTATACGTATTGTGACACTGACCATGTAGTATAAATGTATTGTTCCTACTGAAGCACAAAATTCTCTTAATAGCATTCACAAATCATGCTCGTGTAACGGTGTGGTATTCTCAGGAACAGGCTGAACTCAGAAGATGAAATCAAAACGCTTTAATAATAATAAGAAGAAGAAGAATCATGTAACCTTCAGGGAAACTCACATTAACACAACAGTGTAGATACTAGGTGACCAGACAAGGAGTGAACGCAACAAGGATAATTACTAAACACAGCTGACACACATGAACTAATAATGACGGTAACCAAGGAGACGGACGAGTAGCGGGAAAGTGAACAAAGAAACATGTGACAGATGAAAACATACTGAACGTGACAGAAAGCAACGTGTTTTACACAACCCTGTGGAGTCCATGTCAGCTTGTGTGCATGACGTTATTAAAGCAAATTTTAAAAGCAGAAAATACGAGATACGGGAATTTTCACATTTGGCCTCAAACTTCTGGATCCCACTGTATTTTTAAAAGACATTTTGCCATGTTTATATCAACATCAAGGTTGAGTAATCAATCTTTTGTTAGGAGAAGTATATATTCTGTCATAAGGGATGTGACATTAGGTGGATGAATGGTAATTTTTTACACAACTTTCTAACTTGGGAAACAATTTATTTTAAATGGCATGTAAATTGTTCTCTGCTCTTGGTCAATCAACAGCACATTTACCAACTAAACGACTTGGCTCTGACTCCAAAATGATTGGTGTGCAAGATTGTGTGTTGATGAAGTGTAGAGATATAGCAACATCAATACTCTATACTGCTGTGATTTAAGCCAGAGTGTAATTTGTACAGTTTATCACACTGTACATGCACATATGATGGAGCTTATGGATACATCTTCATTGGATTATTATTGTTGCCCCATGTGTAAAATGGGACATGACCTCATGGCTGCTCCAGATGTAATATAACAAAAGAGTGATTATGGTGATTATGTAAATCACAATTTGAAATGAAAGGGTAGATGTATTATGGGTAAATATTTGATGTGAAATGTGGGTGGATAATAAGTATGTGAACAACAAGCAAATGAAGAGATACAAAATAATAATCTTTATTCAGAACAACAACAATGTAATTGTGTTTTGATGTTTTTGACATATTAGCAAAGTTTGGAATTGTCAAAAAATTCAGTTCCCTGTAATGTTGACAAGATGCGGACATTAAAACGACTACAGGTAGACAAAAACAATGGGATGGTTTGCCTTGTTTACCTGGGGTTTACTAGTGCTCTCAGTGCTGGGTTTACCATCACTTTGAGCTTTTCCATCTTTGTTCAGATTCGTTTTCATACTGGACAATAACTTGTTAACTTTATCGCCATGTTCTTTCTTCTGGTCCTCAACAGACCTCTAAAATCATTGGAAAGAAATTGTAGTGTGGATTAGAAAACAATTTAGCACATTCATTATTAGCGCAAAGAAATACACAATATACTGTACAGAAAGGAATGAGCAGGTGTATTGAGCTCCCAGCCTTTTTACATGGAATCATGCTTGGCAATAAATTAAAAATGCCATCAAAAAGAGAGAAAAAAAAATGAATCACATAAGATACGAGACATTTTTAAACAATATCTTACAGTGGAAAAAAATTCCATACAGTGATGTGAATAAGTTTGGACACCCATGCTAAAGTTGCCTAAAAAGAGGAATAAAAAATCATCTTTTGGATGTTGATCTTAATGCCTCAATTAGAAAAATGAGGAAAACTTTAACCTTTAAGGACACCAATTTTCTTTGTGAATGAATAATGTATCATAAAATAATATTAAAATATCCCCACATCATCACACACCTTCCACCACACCTAGAGATTGGCATGGGGTACTTTCCATAAGATCATCTTTCAATGCAAATCAAACCAGCTATTAGGCTAACTGAAGTAAAACCATGCCAATCTCTAGGTGTGGTGAATGGTGTGTGATGATGTGGGGATATTTTAATCCCAAAGGCCAAGGGAACTTTATCAGGATGCATATTATCCTGGATCCATGAAATAACTGGCTTTTAAAAATAAAAATCTGCCTGACTCTATGGGAATTTAACATAGGGGTGCCCTGACTTACGCACCCTGTATTTTAAGGAAAAACATTTATTCATTTATGATACATTACTCATTCACAAAGAAAATTGGTGTCCTTAAAGGTTGGAGTTTTCCTCATTTTTCTAATTAAGGCATTAAGATCAACATCCAAAAGATGATTTTTTTATTCCTCTTTTTAGGCAACTTTAGCATGGGGGTCAAAACTTATTCACACCACTGTATTTTAAAGAATCCCATTTTCACCATTTTGACCACTATGTTTTTTTTTCTTTCAGGATTAAAATATATATTCTTCTATACTAGATAATGTGCCACCACAAAGGGTTGCTAATATACTAGCTATGCCAATTTACAAAACATTCAGCAAAATATGCCCCGGTTTTAGCACATCAGAAGTGCCGATAGGTCCAGAAGTATTGGAAAGAAGTATTGCCAGTGCTATGGGGCTTTGTTACTTCAAGAAGAACAAACCCAGTGTGGCTGTCAAAGACACTCTTTTCTAGCGCCTCCTTGAAAGACATTTTCCGCTTGGTTTTGGGGCAAGTGATACATTTCAAATGGGAATTGTAATGTTGAAGATGTGCAGCAGTTGCTTTGTCGATCAAGCAATTCTGTATGCCATCCTCCAATGAGACTCTCTCTTGGCTCTCTGGGTTTATGAGCCCACCGGTTGCCAGTTGAAACTCAAGACACCTCACGGCAACATCCTTTGGGAAAAGGTTCTCTTGCATTGCCTGAGCCACAGTCAAAGTCTTTCCATTTTGAGGGTGAATGATACCATAGTAGGCTTGCTCACATTGCTGGATCTGTCTGGCGAAACCTTCATCCAAGAGTCCTCGATGTAGTGCTTCTGTAATCAGAACCCTTTCGCCAGATGCCGGGTCGCAGATGCCTCCAGTGCAAGCCTGGGCTTCTAGTAACCTCAACGCGGTGAGTCGGTCCACAAGGTTCAGCTGGTGCCCTTTGAAAACCGGGAGTCGTTTCTTCAAAGAAACATCCCAGAGTCCAGCGACAGGACCGTTGGAAACTTTAAAGACAACTCTTCTGGAAATCAGAAGATCAGCAAACTCTGAAATGCTGAGCTGACCACTCCGGTAGCTACTGAGCTCTTCCGTTTGGAGGATTTTCAGACTAAGGGCATTTTCAATGGAAAGCTGCCGCCCAGTCTTAGGGTCAGTTAGGATGTGTAGAAGATTCCTACTTGAGTCCATGATTGTGATCTCTTGCCATTCGCTCTCTTGTCTTGAGAGAAACAAGTAAGTTCTCTTGTCAACGTGACCGGCCTTAAATGCTTCATAGGCTGACATCTGCGCACCATTAGAAGTGTTGATGACCGATATTCTGTGTTTGCTGGAAGGTGAGAGGGTGAAGAGATGCTGGTCACCAAAAGGAAGAAGGTATACTCCACCATTGACATCATATACACAGATTCGGAGCAGTTCGCTGTAGTATGCCTTCTGCCCTGTGTCTGGGTAGTGGAAATCTTTTGGGTTACTAACTGGATCATAGAGACTTTGCAGGGTGCTTTGATTTACGAGCCCCTGCTCTAGTCCACAATCCATGGGTACTCTACTTCCAATCAATGGATGAATCAAACCTCCAGTAGCGATTTGAGTTTCTATGATCGCTTTCCCTCTATGTCTATCTAGAATTCTCTCCTCCATAGCCTGAAACACTGACAGAATCTTCCCAGCATGAGGAAAGCCACTGACTGCTTTGTAAGCATCACTTATTTTGTCTTTGAGATCCTCGGTAATGATACCTTTCTCAAAAGCATCTGAAGGAGAGTAACCTTCACCTGTCATAGGATCAATAATGTATCCCGTGGCCGCTTGAGCTTCCAAAAACTCAATGGCATATGTTCTAGATAGTAACCCTTCTGAAACAGCATCGAGGAAGGACAGCTTTTTCTTGCTCGACTCCATGTACACACCTGCAATTGAGGACGGTTTACCAACAAACGGAGCAAGAGATGCTTCTATCTCCTCCATAGTGATGAGGCCTGTTTGCAACTTGAGTGCAATCTCCTGAGTAATCATTTTAGTTTTTATTAACTTTTTAATACTTATCCGTCCTCTGAGACCTTGAATTTTGTAGGAGGAAGACTCCATTTTTAGCCCTTTCGATTTACTTGCTATAGGCGAGACTGAAGCGGGATCGATGGAGGACTCGGAATCATTGATATTGAATGTAACAGTCTGGCTTTTACCAGACCTGCCTTTATCAATCGAGCTTCTCCTGAGTATTGTGTCAGTGATGTCACTCATCATTTGATGTGTGTGTATTTCAAATGCATTCGAATTCTGGACTGTTTTCTTGGTAGCAAATTCCAGAGTTCCCTCGTTTCCAGAGATCACTTGCATTTTCGTTTGCTTGACCTTTTGTAGCTCCTCCAGCACTTTTTCCTTTTCCAGTGTAGCTATCTGCAAGCATGAGATCATTTATGCAATTAGAGCATGGACTGTAACATCCTATCTACTATATTTTCAGATCTTTACAACTATGATACTGATTCTAAATTGAAATCCAGACTCTATGATGATGATAACACCGTACTGTACACTTATTTGCATACATAATTATGTAAGAGTTAAGGTGAAGTGTGCGATTTCTGAACTAATATAACTGCAATGTATAGCTTCCTCTCTACCTCATCTTTTCCTTTCCTGATTTTTATTTACAAAACTGAGGACTATTTGCCGCATGCACTATTACTGTCTGGGGTATATAGGTGGTGAACAGAATTTAAATTAATATAATTTATAGTACCTGTGGCAATAATAATTTTTCAATTGATGATCAAATTATGGAGAAAAGCAGGGAGGTCGACTATCAAATGAACAATGGTGCTTTCAAACTATTGGTGCACACTTGACGTCAGAATTTAGTTTATTTGGATAATCGGAACACTGTTTTTAGATCTTGGATGCACACCCGGAACCCACGACTGAGTCCACCTAAAAAGGTGGTCAGAGGCGAGTTGCATAAACTTAGCTATTTTATTAAGATGTTCTCTTAAGGTCTAGTATGACCCACTAGCAGTTGGTCAAGGGACAAGCCATCTTTGGAAAACAGTCTTGACAAGTCGAACCACGAACGACGTGCTGAGTGAGCTGAACTGTATGAAGTTCAGCGAACTTCTGAACTGTATGAACGGTGTTCGTGGATTGACTTATCGGGACTATTTTCTAAGATGGCTCCTGTCTCTATACACAAAGTGAACTGTCTTTATAAAGTATCTTCTTATTAAACGGTCTGTACACTTACAAAGTTCTCAATGCTTCGGTTTGCATGTAGGGACCCTCATTATGTTACTGCGTTAGTGTGGGGCTGTTTTGAGCCTTGTTAGTGATACTAACTAGCGATTTCTTTTTACTTAGTAAATGTCCCCATTACTAGCGTTATACGCTAAACCGTTTTTAGAGACAAAACTCTTTACATTCGATTACCATGAAAACAAATCTCAGAGAACGGTTGACTAGTTCATTTTGCGCAGGAGTTCTCCTTTAAGCTCCTATATGGCCATTGCGCTACTGGAACACGACAATGACAGACCAGACCCGTCTCTCTCAATGGCTCTGTAACAGATCAGGCTCGGTGATTGTGTAAAGACTTGTACGTGCATGCACAGTGTGGTCATGTTACATTCGAATGGTGAGTAATGTATCCTGTGGCATAAATGAATGAATAGTCATGTTACATACGTTTTCGGTCGTGTAGTGTGGGCCGAGATCTTTTCTGAAAAGCAGTGGAAACGCCAGTATGGACGAGGATCGTTTTCATTTTCAAAATGCTATGTTAAAACGATAACACACTAGTGTAAACAGGGCCTCAATGTGAGGTGAGTAAACCTTTCTATTTTGCTGCCTTGTCCCGCATTGTCGTTACCATTGGGTAACAAGGGTAAACACCTGCCACTTTAATGATGGAAGCGTACTTGGGATCTGACCCACAAAATACCAGTGTGAATAGAAAAGAGGAGGTGCAACTGACTAAACAATGGAACCAAGTGTGAAAGCCGCTTTACTTATAGACCCCTTTTGCGCCAACATCACAGTTACGTCACGGCGCTAGCTGGAGGTAAAACAAAGTGAAAACTGGAGGCGGCCAATACAAACCAGCACAGATTCGGCTACATAATAAGGAGCTTAAATAATTGTTACTATTATTAAATGTCATCTTGTTGTGTTGTTTGGTGCAAGAATTGATGAAAAATGAATATACTGTATCTGGAACTTTTATTTCTAGAAAATATTCACATCATTAAAATCGCACTGTAATGTCACTCTCTACATTGTTGTCATCTCGACGCTGGCTCGGCAGAACTGCGGATCGTACACACAAGTCTTGTACAGGACCATATAGGCATCTAAAGATTTATATGCCCTCAGTTTCTCTTTACGATCGGTTTCTCTGTAAGGTAGTTGTAGAAGTCAGGCCACTCACCCGAAGTAACGTACGTTAATCCTGTCAGATCGTCCATGCATCGAGTGAGCGTGTGAAGGCTATGGGTCGGCCAATCTGGTTTCGTCCGTTAAAAATAACTTTTGGAAATAACAATCGCAGTCCTGGACACTGAGTGACCGTACACATTAAGATAATATCAGATTTTCTCCAGTCATTGTTAAAAAACAAGCTAACAATCCTTGCTAACTAGCGTTAGTGAAGCGGCCAGAGGGATCGTTCTGCCTCCACCTAAGCTCCGCCCACATAAAAACGTCACCGTGTCACCAACTGTAAAGGGGTCTATAGTTGAAAGAAATCAGACACTTCACCTTTTAATGAAAGTTTTACAAAACTGCGAATGCACCTGAAGTCGTACCTCAGAGCTCATTTTCATTTTCTTTAGTTCCTCCTCCAGGTTCTGTTTCGCTTCTTCGTACGACGCAACGATGTTCTGAGTCAACTGCAATTCAGTCTTCAGCTTTGCCAGCTCTTCGTCTTTGGCACAGTGATGATTGGCCTGTCCAAGTGCCTCCAATTCTTTTAGATGCTTCTGCTCAGAACTGACTGCCACCTCAAGCTTCAGATTCTTCTCCTGTAGAGACTTCACGTCCTGGATGTATGAGACAATCTGTTCTTTTAGAGACTTGCCTTCCCTTTCCGAGATGTTCAATTTCTGCTCAGTCTCTGCCAACATTTGCTTTAACCTTGATATTTCGTTTGAGCTGTCTTTGTGAATATTGTCGAGTTGAAAAATACTAGACTTCACCCTGATTTGATCAGTTTCCAACTCGGAAATCTTTGATTTTGCTTTGAGAAGTTCAAGGTCAAGAATTCCCCTCTGTCTGTCAGATTCGTCCAACTGCGTGCGAACATTGCAGAGATGTTGTTCAGCCTCCTGTTTGGCGTTTGTTGCATTAGCAATCAATGCCTTCAGCTTCTCCACTTCTTGAGACAGGTGCTTGTTATCTCTCTCCGCTGTTTCCACAGAATGCGAGTGCTCCGTTGATTTCCTCTCATGCTCCAATTTTAAGCGTGATTCTTGCAGCGAAAGCTTTTGCTCCATTTCAGCCTGCACTATCTTCAGTTGAGTCTCATAGCCTTTCTTTTGCAAGTCGAGCTTAACTTTGAGATCGTCAAGCATCTTTTTACAGTTGTCCAGTTGTTCGCCGAGCTTTTGCGACCTCAACTCGGCAGCTGCCGTTTGACTTTGCTTCTGCTTAAGCTCTTCATTGGTCTGTCTCAACTTCTGCTTCAGTTCTGATGTTTGGAGAGATAAACTTGTAATTTTGTCCTCTGCGGCATTCCTATCCTTTTGAAAAGTGACTAGCTCTTGTTTTAAATTCAGTACAGATTTATCTGCGCTCGAGCTCATTTCTCGAATAGCAGAACTTTTCCTTTGGAGTTCAGCCTCAAGTTCTTTGAGTTTGGACTGGCTTAACCTGTTTTCTTCAGTCACCCGCTGTAGCTCATCTTTAGTTCTTTTTAGAGTGGTACTCAGATTATCAAATTCACATTTCAAAGCCTGTAACTTCTGGTCAGCGGTTTGCTTATCCCTCTGAAGAGATGAAATGTCCATTTTCAGGCTTACTGTGGCTTTCTCCGAGCTTCCACTGATCCTGCTAATCGTCTGCTTACATTTCAAAAGCTCATTTTCAAGTTCTCGGACCTTTGTAATACTCTTCTTACCTTCCGATGACTCTCCAATGGATTTTTTCAATGCCACGTTCAGGTTATTTATCTCGACTTTATGTTCCTGAACCTTCTGATTCGCCAGATTCCTCTCGGTGGTTATGGTGCTTAGCTCGGCTTTGAGATTTGAAATATCTTTTTCATAGTTGGCGATGGTCAACGTGAGAGACTTGATCTTCTGCTGTAGCTCGGTGGTCTTCTTGGCTTCTTCGTTGTAGTCTTTAAGTTTGATTTGAAGCTCATGAGATATCTGTGTTTTATTCAGAAGTTCCTCTTCAAATATTTTTACCTGAGATTTCGCACTTTCTGTCTGGGATCTGAGGATATTAATTTGCTGTTCCTTACTGTCAATCTCAATGGACGCTCTATCGAGTTCTGCTTTCACATTTTTAAAGGCACGCTCAGTGTCCATGCTAATCTTCTTGAGTTCTTCTACTTTATTAGCAAGCTGCGTCACATGCAAGGAACTTTTCTGAAGCTCTAAATCGAGGTTTTTGATTTTGAGTTGAGTTTCCTTCTCTGTTCTTGTCTTCATATTGATCTCTTCTTTGGCTCTCTGCAGTTGCTCCTTCAAAACCTCTGCCTCGCCTCTCAGGGTTTTAATCTTTTGGTCGGCATGTGATTTGTCTTGCTGAATCGACTCGATACTTACCTTAAGATGTCGGGTATCACTTTCTAATAACTGATTATTTCTATTAAGTTCATTGACCTTGAATGTCATCTCCTCTACTTCAGTCTGTTTGGAAGACAACTCATCTTCCATGCACCTCAACTTATGAGCACTCTCCTGTTCCAAGGAGGTCCGCTGTAGAAGTTTCCCTTGGTTGACCTTGAGTTGCTCCTTTATCCCATCAACCTCGGTCTTCTGGAAGAGCACTCTCTGCTCCAGAGCCGACTTGTCCCTTTGGAGAGACTTGATTTGTTCTTGATACACATAGACAGACTTTTTCAGTTCAGAAGATTCTTGTCTCAATTCTTCTGCTTTCTGTCTCATGTTGGACCTATCGGCATCCATTTCCACTTGAAGCTTCTTCAGCCTGTTGTTTGCCTCGTCTAAGAGCTCTTTGAAACGTTGGGCTTTCTCCTCAGCCACAGTTTTGTGGACAATTAATGAGTTTAACTCAGACTTCAAGGTCTTGATCTCAGTCTCGGCTCGTTTCTTGCCCATAACGAGCTCTTCCATTTTACGTTGCAGGACATCTGCCTCGGATTCAGAATGGATCATCGAAGAACCGCTTGTAAAAGTGGACAGTTGTCCACCTTCTATGGAGTAACCCAACAAGGATTCACCTTGCTTCATTCTGACTTCTGACTTGTGTGACAGATCCATTTCCATGATTCTCACTTGGCTAAGGAGCTCTGTCTCGGCATCTTCCTTAGCCCTCAGTTCTCGCTCTAACGTACGACTGTGCTCCTCCAGGCCCTGTACGTCACTGTCCTTGCGACGTAAATGATCTTCCAGCTTCTTACGGGCTAACGTACTTTCCTCAATGCTCTTTTTAAGGTTGCGGAGGCTCTCTTCCAGGGAGGCCTGTTTGGCCTCCGACTGCTGGACCTGTTGCCGAGCACGATTCAGCTCTTGCTCGATGGAGCCTTTGCTTTTGATCACACCTTCCAGTTCAACACGATATTTCTGGGCCTCGAACTCCGCCTTTGACCTCTGTAAGGTCAAGTCCTCAATTGACTTTTTATGCATCTCAAGGTCTGCTCCCAAGATGTCCAGCTGCTGTTGCCTGTTCGACAGTGACGCCTCGAGCTCCAGTACCTGACGCCGGAGCCGGGCGACCTCCTCTTCACTTGCAGCTTTCTGCAGCTCCATGCTCTCAGTCCAGCTTAAGTACTCTGCATTTTCCAACGATTTCCTCCTCTGTAATGAAAGATACAGTCATCTTCCAGTCAGCCACTTGGAAGAGAATAGGCGGTTCTTGCCCACTTACCAACACCACCACCAAGTGTTTCAGTGTGTTTCCAAGACATGCTTTCCCAAGAGACAAGGTCAAACGCAATGATACAAAATACAGCATCATGTGCTATTTTGTATCAAAAATATATTTCCAAGCACAGACCAACATTTTTAATTGCAGGAAAGAGTGTAACAAATATGCAGCATGTTTGTGTGTGTGATTGCTCTAATGGAACATGGCTGGGAGCAAAGCATTGACAAAAGCATGCAATGAAGCTGCTACATAGTAAAAAACAAGAAATAAAAGGAAACTATAATGCAAATATCCAACTCTATTCGATAAAGAAAAATTCAACAATCGCCTTACCTCATCCTCTTCCGCCCTCTTCAGTGTTTCACCTGCAAACTTAACATACTGTGTCATGAGAGTAACCAGGGCTGTGTAACGTGTACGAAGGTCCATGAACTGAGGAGGGAAACGAAGACATACATACTCAAATGTAGAAAATCAAAAGGATAGCAGTGTAAGCCTATAGAAATTGGTTATATTTCTCTCGTACCTCCTGCTGGATGACATCAGAGGAACTCTGCATCTTCCTCCTCTTCACTGGGGACTTATGCTGAGAGTCAACCATGGCTCTATACGTCATCAACTGCAGTTCATAGTCCTTAAAGAAAGACAGGTATGGAAAAAAACACTATAAATAAAAAACACTTTTCTTTGCTATCTGCTTAATTGTTTTTATTTTATTGTTTCCTTGGGGATGAAGAACCTGTTAACCTGTTAACTGTCACCCCCCTTTTTTTTAAATGCACATTTCGAACTTAAATGGTTGTAATTCAAGAATGCTTTGGAATATAGACGTAAGATTGGTTTTGTTTTAAAGAAGACATTTGGCAGATTTTTGTCAAAGTGAAATACATTAAGAAAGTGAAACAGAGAAAAAAAAGTTATAGAAGTTTGAGTTTATGGAAATGTACAATGTAAAAAAAATATTCATACTTTATATAAAATATATATTTTCAAAACCTGGGCTACTCTAAAACTGCAGAAAATACAAAGCTAAAAAAGTTTAGGCTGATATCTCTAAAAAAAATTTGCTTTCTGTGAGATTTTGTTTGGGCGCAGTACCGAACGCTTCCACTAGGGCACAACCAGACTCCATCACTGCCCATATAAGGGCGCATCCATTTCCATATGTGTTTGAGTTATCTGAACCATTATTTCCACAATTTTCATACAATTTATGAAGTAGAGATCCTATTCAGAAGTAGTATGGGAAGTTTGGCAGATTTTGATATGAATTCAACCTCTAAGAAACACATACAAAGAACACACATGTGCGTTATAGCTTCCTGCCACATCACAAATGGTGAATTTATTATTTTTTATTAATACTTAAAACATTTTCAGACCTTTTTTTCTAAAATAATTGAATGGATGCAATCTTTTGAGCATGAAAACAAACTGATGTTCATTGCTATTTCAAAATAAAGGTCTGAACACGCTTCATGAGTTTAAAAATATTCTTGATGCAAATTAATAAATTATGGCTCCTGTGTAATTTATTTTGAAAATCACCAAATATGGGAACTAAAGATTGTAAGCTTTCAAATGAGATATAGTTTGTCAATATTACTTAAGGTCTTTTCTAAGATATTATTGTTTTAAAAATATAATGGCAATGTGACAGTTAAGGGGTTAAGGCTATCCCATTTACACATAACATTACTATAATGGTACTGTAATAAAGTATTGGTGTCACATATGATAAAGTAGTGGTGTCACATGGTAATACCGATCTATAGTAATTATAATAACTAGATACTAACCTTCAACCTCCCCCTAAACCTAGTTTTAGGTAAGTACACAATAAAGTGCAACCCAATAATCACATGAGACAGTATACCTCAGTGCCCGAAGACAAAAAAATCGTATTACCATGTTACCATATATTTTTTGTTAACAATTTTGGCTTACTTTCACTCCAACTGCATAATGCTCCGAATACTTCTGGCACTCCTCAATTTTGCTCTGTTTTTGCTCGATTTCTGCAACCAAAACCTAGAAATAAAGCAAATTATTAGGATTTGATGCTAGTAAACTATATGGATATATACATGTTTTGTTTTTGTTTTTTTCGTCATACTTTCTGCTGGTTCAGGAACTCGGCCAACGCCTTGCTGTCCTCAGGTTGATTCTCTTGGGCCTTGAGTTGCTTGACCTCCATTTCTTTGCTCCATTCATCCAGGCTGTTGTATGTGTCTTTGTAATACTTCAGGGATTTGCTGATGCCTTCGAGGTCTCGGAGCCTGAATACAAAGGAACACAAATACATCATCCATAATGAACAAGATAAATTGTCCATTATCAAAACAAATGATCATGATGCTAGCAACCCCTAGTAATGGATTGATTCCAGATGAAATGTATACCCTGCCAAATGCATAAATGTATATGTAGTAAATAAATGAAAAACACAATAATCCCTAAACTTAAAGACCTGTTTTCAATCTGAGAGTGGATGTTCTGCCATCGTTCTTTGAGCTGGTCGGCCTTCTCCTTGTGCCAATCCAAATCAAAGTCTCTCTCGTTGTGCGTTTTGAACATCCGCTCGCTGACCACTCGTGCCTTTTGCAGCTCGTCCTCCAAGTCATGGAAAACCTCGCGTCTTTCGTCGATCTCAGACCTCCATTGCTAAAAAGTACGATCGAAAGTGTTAAATCAAAGACGTTCCATGATTAAACCATCATCGAGTTACAATGAGAGTGTTTTACCTTGAGAGTGCTCACAACACCATCGATAGATTTGATATTAGCATTGATCGTATCCTCCTCACACAACTTGGCTTCATAAAGTTTGACCAGAGCTTCGGCACTCTGACTGTGTTTCACCACCAAGCTCACCGTCTTCAGCCTGAGTGTAGAAGATGATCAAGTCAAACAAGATCAGCCCTTTCGAGTTGATTAAACGCTTCATATTCATCTTTCTTAGTGAGTAATGTTGCTGTTTGAGCATTTCCAAAGTCCCTCCAGTGGGAGTTATTCTTTATATCAGTGTCACTGTTTTTCTTCGGGGAGCGAACGTCACAATATTCCTCATTATAATAATTGATGCGCAGAATAAAGGGGCGGGGCCTGGTTGAGTTAGTTAGTAGTGTGTTAAACTGGTGGTTATGGAAAGTGGTGGGACATTTAACAAACACACTTGACCAATCAGAGCACAGTGTGCGTTTCAGAAGGAGGGGCTTCATAGAGACAGGAAGTGAACAGAGCATTACTGACAGACTGGGAAGAGAGGAGCCGCAACAATGGAGAATATGAGGAGAATTAGGTGTTTTTTGAACATTCAAGCATAAAACCCCCCAAAAATGTATCAAGACTCAAGGAAATGGGCATAACGTAAAACTTCAAATAATAGCCGAGTCCCAAATAGCCGTCTGTCTCTTTTACACCCCTGGTGTGACTGCAGGTTTGGGTGAATAAAAGCCGGTCTCAAATAGAGGCCGGGTCTGCTTTTTAGTTTCGGGTTGTTAATCTTCTAAAACCGTCAGACTGTCCGCTTTTCAGCGGCCGTCAAAGCAAATTTTGGTCCCGTTAAAGCCTATTTTGATCAGTGAGTGATGTAGAATAGAGACTGCTGCGCTTGAAGAGAGAGAGAGAGAGATGGAGAGAGAGAGCGAGAGAGCGAGTGGAAGACTGCAGTTTCACGTGGAGCATTTGGAGATTTTTAGAGATTATAGACTCCATGAACAACATCTCAATACTAAATTATAAAGGCTGGTTTCATATAGACGCCTGTCTCAAATACAAGCCTGCACCAGTTTGGGAAAATAAAAGGCTGGGCTGTTATTTGAAGTTTTACGGTAATGGGTATTTTTTTAATAGAGATCGCTAGAATCTTAGCATGTGATCGTTGTTTGATAATAATTATCTTTCTTTCTAACTAATCTATCTTTTGTTCTTTCTAACTAATGTATATTTCTTTATTTCTAACTAATCTATCTATCTTTCTAACTTATCTTTCTAACTAATATATCTATCATTCTTTCTTTCTTTCTAACTAATCCTTTCTTTCTTTCTCTTTATTTCTATCTATCTATCTATCTATCTATCTATCTATCTATCTATCTATCTATCTATCTATCTTCTTTCTAACTAAACTCTTTCTTTCTAACTAAGCTTTCTTTCTAACTAATCTATCTATCTATCTATCTATCTATCTATCTATCTATCTATCTATCTATCTATCTATCTATCTATCTATCTAATCTACCTATCTATTTATCTATCTATCTTTATTTCTAACTAACTAATCTATCTATCTAACTAATCTATCTAACTAACTAACTAACTAACTAACTAACTAACTAATCTATCTATCTATCTATCTATCTATCTATCTATCTATCTATCTATCTATCTATCTATCTATCTATCTATCTATCTATCTTCTATCTAACTAAACTCTTTCTTTCTAACTAAGCTTTCTTTCTAACTAATCTATCTATCTATCTATCTATCTATCTATCTATCTATCTATCTATCTATCTATCTTTATTTCTAACTAATCTATCTATCTATCTATCTATCTATCTATCTATCTATCTATCTATCTATCTATCTATCTATCTATCTTTATTTCTAACTAATCTATCTATCTATCTATCTATCTATCTATCTATCTATCTATCTATCTTTATTTCTAACTAACTAATCTATCTAACTAACTAATCTATCTAACTAACTAACTAACTAACTAACTAACTAACTAACTAACTAATCGATCTATCTATCTATCTATCTATCTATCTATCTATCTATCTATCTATTCTTTCTTTCTTTCTAATGTTTCTTTCTTTCTAAATAATCTTTCTTTCATTGAAACAAATCTTTCTATCTATCTATTATTTATCTATCTTTCTACCAAATCTTTCCTTTCTTTCTAACCAATCATTTTATTTTTTTCTTTCATCTAATCCATCTTTAAAACTTCAAACTACTTCAAACTTCTCCAAACTCTCTGGTCCGGCTTTCTCAAGCCAACTTAAAGTTTGTCTCATCAAACTTGTTTTTCTAGTTGTATCTTGGAATCATGTCAAGATCCTTTTCGAAGAGAGCAAACAGAGAGCAGAGGAAGAGTCAGATTAAAACAATGCTTGCATGAGCAGCTGAAGCACATCTTGAATTATACGAGGACTCACTTCTCCAGGTAGATGCAGCACATGGAGTACACCTGGTTGGTGCTCTGCGTGAGGATGCTGAGCTCGGAGGAGAGCGTGGGGACGGATGGAGAGGCGGACGCTTGCCTGAGGAAAACCTCACACTTCTCCCTCAGGGTCTCCAGGTCTTCCTTCAACCTATCCAGCTCCACCTTCTTTTTCTGGAACGAGTGAGAAGGAGAGGCCAGACGTATTACAGAAATAGTTTTTGTTTCAGCGTCCACATTTTACACCGGACATCCAAAAAACGAAGCTGGAGATCGAACCTCCTGTTCGGTGATGCGCAGAAGACACTCCTGCAGGTCATCTCTGTCCAGCGGCGTCCGGATCTTCCTGATCAGCTGTTCCTCGTGACCCTCCACACGCATGCGGAAGTTACGCACCTCCGTTATGAACAGGTTGTACACGGACTCCTCGTGTTCCTCTGTTGACCACCAGAGGGCATTACGTCAGTGACACATCATGGCCATACAAATACTGCCTGTTTCTGTTTCTTTGAGAAAATGTAGCTAGTAACGACACATCTAAGCCGAACTGATCGAATACTTGTGTAAATCTTGCAGACAATACATATTTCAGATATTGTGAACTTATGAAACGTCTCAACAAGAGCAGAAATATTTTAAGTGCACTCTGGTTTTAGATGCATTACAAATGTATGCCCACTCAAATGCATACCCACAAACACTCTCTTTTCTAATATTGATGAGGAGATCTGTGCATGGATAATACAGCATTCAGCTTAATAGGCTTAGGAGAACACGAGCTAATTCAGACGTATAGTTCAACTATTCTCTAGTCTAGGCGACCCTGCATTTCATTACTAACAGTCCAAGTGCCCACTGTCTGAAAATGCATGACTTATGGTCCCTTTATTGTGCAGTCAAAGTTTATTCAGACTCCTTCAACATTTCTCATATTATCTCAGTTTATACTGTATGTTATACTTTAGAAAATGGTGATAAATATGAGCAGAACTCAGTGGATATTTGACTGGTTTTGTCCTTCTGTTCGACGCTCACACATGAATTATATTGAATATCTGTCAGCTGTTAAATTGAACTACACAAATAGATAATATCAGTTTAGCTCAACCAGTGACCAAGCAATGCTTCATGTTGTTCAGTGTGTGTGTAAAAAGTAGGAGTAGTTCACTTTAAAAAAAACGTTTGCTGATAATTTACTCGCCCCTGTGTCGTCCAAGATGTCCATGTCTTTCTTTCTTCAGTCGAAAAGAAATGAAGGTTTTTGACGAAAACATTCCAGGATTTTCTCCATATAATGGACTTCAATGGGGACCAAACGGTTCAAGGTCCAAAAGACAGTTTCAGTGCAAACTGTTCAAAGGGCTTTAAACGATTCCAGACGATGAATCAAGCGAAACGATCGCTCATGAACAAATCTTTTTTCGTGTCATTTGGTTGATTCAACGAACAAAATTAACGAAATGAATTTCGTTAATGACTTTTTCTAAGTGAGATTCGTTCATTTTGATAAACGAGTTCGAACAGGAGAGTCACGAACGCGTATCACAGAACAGAGCAAGGCGAGCATTTGAGCTTATAAAACTTAAACTTTGTTATTTATTTATTAAATGAGCGATCGTTTCGCTTGATAAGACCCTTATTCATCGTCTGGAGTCGTTTAAAGCCCTTTGAACAGTTTGCACTAAAACTGTCTTTTGGACCTTGAACCGTTTGGTTCCCATTGAAGTCCATTATATGGAGAAAATCCTGGAATGTTTTCATCAAAAACCTTCATTTCTTTTCGACTGAAGAAAGAAAGACATGGACATCTTGGATGACACGGGGGCGAGTAAATCATCAGCAAAAGTTTTTTTTAAAAGTGAACTAAAACATGGTCAGCTCAAAGTGTCGGAATCATTTCTGGTCCTTTATTTATGTCACTGGTAGATATGTTTACAGTGTATTTTGCTCTCCTCACTTATATAAATGAGCTATAGTTTCCTGCACACACTAGTAAATAAACACTTTTATCAGGTTTGTCTGTATGTGTGTGTGTGTGTGTGTGTGTGTACAGTAACGTGCCTCTCTCTGCAGATTTGAGGAGTTCCTCATAATACTCCTTACAAGCCAGAACCTCCTTCTCCAGCTGAGCACAATCAGCCACGGTGAAGACATCGGACTCATCGCTGTCCCTCAGGAAGTCCTCGAAGTGGGACGTCAGGCTGCCCAGCGCCTGCTCGTGATCCCCAGGCAGTAGGGTCTTGATCTAGGCAGGAGAATGGCCATAAGTTCACTGGGTTTAAAACATGACTGTAGTCTCCAGGCACACACAGACAGAAGGCTCGTACCGAGGCGACGGTGCTCTTGCGGATGGCACGGATGTCCGTCATCAGATAGTGCCAGGACACCACGCTCTTCATGTTAACGTGAGAGTGATGCCACAGAGCCAGAACATTCTGGTACAGCTGCTCAATCCTGAAAGAGAACACACTATAACATATTAATAATGGGAATGAAAAAGGACAAATATAACGGGCTTTCACAGCCATCAGGGTGTTTCCTCGAGGACTCATGGTTGCGTTCGCACCGTCAGTAGGAACACACGGCTTTTTAAAAATGGCGGGTGCTGGTGTTTCGTGTGCGTTCGGCTAATCAGCGAACACTAACGTCACTGTAGATCCTATAGCGCTGGTTTAGCCAATGACAAAACCAACCACATGATAGTTTAATGTAGTGTTAACCCATGACGGGTTATGGGATGTCATGTTTATGACATATTTATGCCAATTTATGTTGTATTGGTTATGTCAAGATGTCATAACAAAGACATCTCAAACAATGTCACATTTGCCTTAAAAATGCATTAAACACTTAAAAGGAGTAGTTCACTTTTAAAAAAACCTTTTGCTGATAATTTACTCGCCCCATGTCATCCAAGATGTCCATGTCTTTCTTTCTTCAGTCGAAAAGAAATGAATGTTTTTGATGAAAACATTCCAGGATTTTCTCCATATAATGGACTTCAATGGGAACCAAACGGTTCAAGGTCCAAAAGACAGTTTCAGTGCAAACTGTTCAAAGGGCTTTAAACGATTCCAGACGATGACCCTTCGAGTCATGACTCGAAAAAAGATTCGTTCATTTTGATGAACAGGAGAGTCACGAACGCGCGTCACAGAACAGAGCAAGGCGAGCATTTGAGCTTATAAAACTTAAACTTTGTTATTTATTTATTAAATGAGCGATCGTTTCGCTTGATAAGACCCTTATTCATCGTCTGGAATCGTTTAAAGCCCTTTGAACAGTTTGCACTAAAACTGTCTTTTGGGCCTTGAACCGTTTGGTTCCCATTGAAGTCCATTATATGGGGAAAATCCTGGAATGTTTTCATCAAAAACCTTAATTTCTTTTCGACTGAAGAAAGAAAGACATGGACATCTTGGATGACATGGGGGCGAGTAAATTATCAGCAAGTGTTTTTTTTTAAAGTGAACTACTCCTTTAATGTCAGTAGTCATAAACATGCATGAAACCTCCTTCATATTCATGACATGTGTTATGTCAGTCTTATGCACACCTCTTCAAATAAAGTGTTACCATATTTAAACATAAATTGGTACGCTTCACGCTAAAGTTGGCATGAAATGAAAATTCTATTCTCTAATGCATGATATACGTCTTATTGTTAGCAATTAATCAGTGCTTATGGTTAATATTATAAAATGACCTCGTAATATTTAATCAAAATGCCATGATCAGACTTCTCTCTCGTGGCGTATGCAGGATTCTCCAATCACTGAGTGCGCTTTAACTCCGCCCCTGCATCTGCATAGTGCCACGCCCACATCTGCGTCAACCAATCAACAACCAATGCACAAAACCAAGTCGTCGCCCTTTATTTCTTTTGGATAATCTGTTATACTCGTATGCAAAGAACACAAGATCCGTCACTACTTCCGTCTCCCAAAGTAAATAAAGAATGAGATGAAAAGCTCCCAGAATGCCCTCACCTGCTGGACATCTCAACGGCCTCCTTGTTGGGTGGAGGAACGCTAAAGCAGACCGAAGGCACCATGGCCTCGTTTCCCGACGGACTGATCACTTTCCACTTCGCCCGGTGAGAATTACTCACCAGAACACACTCGTCCTCTTTGCCGATGGTGATCTGAGGAGAGACGGGTCACCGAGTGTTTAATGGCAGACACTGATGTCACGGTTCTTTCAAATCACTTCAGACTTCAGATTAATCATCAACTACAAGCACTTTATACGCTTTACAAACTCTAAACACAGTTCTCTACAAATGCCAAATCATTCCCCATTACTAACACCCAATGATCATGTGTGAAAACACTTAGAAATCAAAACTCAATTATTTTTACCGCCTTGAATTTCTGTTTATAGTGTAAATATATACAGTATATATATATATATATATATATATATATATATATATATTAGGGCTGGGCAATGATTAATCGCCATTAAAAATAAAAATTTGTGTTTAAATAATATGTGTGTGCGTAGAGTGTATAATTATTTTGTATATATAAATACACACACATGCATGAATATATATTTAATAAATATTTGCAGGTATATACTTTATATTTATTCATTTATACATAATTAATATTATGTCTATAAATAAATATTTGATATATTAAGAACAAAATATAATATATATATATATATATATATATATATATATATATATGAATATATATATATATATTTTCTTAAATATATACATACATGTGTTTGTATTTATATATATAGGTGTACACAATAATTATACACACTACACACACATATATTATGTAAACACAAACTTTTATTTTGGATGAAATTAATCGCGATAAATCGTTTGACAGCCCTAATATTTATATACATACATACATATTACATACACACAGACGGACACACACACACACACAAAGCGCTTTAGAAATAAAGTTGACTTTCTGACTTCTATATATACTGTTTACTGTATATATATATATATATTATACATACAAGATAAGATATAGATAGTTTTGATTGTTTCCGCACACTAAACAAGAAAAAGACACCGACGCGTTTGCAGTTTGGTGTGCGTGTGGATAGTCATCTGATGTTTGTGTGTAGAGACTACGTAAAACACCATTTGAAGAGTTCAAATAGTTTTGAATAAAGTTTTTCTGATGTTGTGTGTGTATTTTGTATGTAGAGTTTGAAGAAACGGAGTCATATGTTCATAAATTGTGTGCCGCACCTCTATCTGCCGGTAGTCACAGATGGCTTTGACGGGGATGGAGGATCTGACGGGGTTCTCTGGGTTGCGTGCCTTGAGCTGAACGACGGCCTTGGCCCGACCCACTAACCCGCCCACAGTGCCGCTGTACTTCAGGAGCTGCTCTTTCTCCTCCTGTGAAGAGGAAACATCCATCATGCACACACTTCTACACATCGATGGACAGGGATGAGAATCGGAGGAACTCTAACCATGGACTCCTGGATCAGGTCCTCGAGCCGGTGTAGACTGCTGCTTCGGTCGCAGCTGTACTTCCTGTGGATGGCGTCTTGGAGGCTCTTCAGGTAATCCAACGACTCTTTGGCGTCGCTGAAGAACTACAAGTAGAGGAACTGTCATGAGCTGTCACGCGTCATGTCACTGTGTCATGCTAAAGCTAGCGGTGTCACTCACGTCGAAGTAGACCGCGTTGTCTTTGAGATGTTGCTCCACACAGTGACAGAGTTGCAGGATCCAGCTCCACTGAGTCTGCATCGCCGCTCGGTACGCCTGACACACACACACACACACACACACACGCTTACCGGAACATCCACGCATTTACTCTTACTTCAGTTCATTTCAGAATGGAGAAGTCAAATAAAAAATAAAATGTTGACAAAATGTTTCAATACAGTTAATTTTATTTATTTATTTGTTTATTTATTTTATTTTGGAATGGTAAAAAAAGAAAGAAAAAAACTGTAATAAAATGTTTCGATTCAGTTAGTGAGAAAAATGTATTTACATTTTTTTTTTAATTTAGTTTAATAAAAAAATATATTTTATTTTATTTTGGAATGGTAAAAAAACAGAAAAATCTAAATAAAATTTTTCCATTCAGTTAGTGAGAAAATCCGTATTTACATATTTATATTTTAATTAAATTTAATAAAAAATATATTTTGTTTTTTTTGGAATGGTAAAAAAATTTTTAATAAAATTTTTCCATACAGTTAGTGAGAAAATTTGTATTTTCATATTTTTAATTTTTAATTTAATTTAATAAAAAAATATATCTTATTTTATTTTGGAATGGTAAAAAAAAGAAAAAAAATGTGATAAAATGTTTCCATTCAGTTAGTGAGAAAAATGTATTTGCATATTTTTTTTATTTAATTTAATAAAAAATATATTTTATTTTATTTTATTTTGGAATGGTAAAAAACAGAAAAATTTAAATAATTTTTTTTCCCATTCAGTTAGTGAGAAAATCAGTATTTACATATTTTTATTTTTAATTAAATTTAATAAAAAATATATTTTGTTTTATTTTGGAATGGTAAAAAAAAAAATTAATATAATTTTTCCATTCAGTTAGTGAAAAAAATCTGTATTTTCATATTTTTTATTTTTTATTTATTTTATTTTGGAATGGTAAAAAAGAAAAAAAATGTAATAAAACTTTTCCATTCATTTTTTTTTTTTTTTTTTATAAATTTAATTTAATAAAAAATATATTTTATTTTGGAATGGTACAAAAAAGAAAAAGAAAAATGTAATGAAATGTTTCCATTCAGTTAGTGAGAAAATCAGTATTTACATATTTTTATTTTTTTATTTAATTTATATTTTATTTCATTTTGTAAAATATAAAAAAACACAATACTAATACAATTTTAATCAAATGTTTCCATAAAGTTAGAGGGGGCGTTTATGTATTTACTCAGTGGAATTTATTTGATGTTCATTTTATTTTATTTTATAATGGAATGTTAAAATTAAAAATAAAATAGTAATAAAATGTTACCATACAGTTAGAGTGAATATCCAGGTATTTACTCTTTTTTAATCTTAACTTATTTTATTATTTTATTTTATATCACTCTCATAAAAACTTTATTTTTTAAAACAGAAGTTTCACAGAATGCTCTTTTCCATACAATAATTGGAGATAGAAACTGCCAAGCTCCAAAAATACATAAAAGCCTCCTGAAAATATCATAAAGTTGGCCCGTGTGCTGCTGCTATATATTCTCATACAAGAGAAAGATGTCCAAGTTGTTGGCCTAAGCCTAACTCCTCTCACCATATTCTGCTAAACTCCTCATCAGTGCTGATGAGCTTCAGATATGAGCTTCACGTTACCTCGATGGTCAGTCTGGCCGGATGGTTCTCCAGCAAGAGGCTCTCCGCCTTCTCCTGCACTGCCCTGATCACCTCTTCCTTGTCATCCAGTTCTCTCATGAGATCCTGTGGAAACACACACACACACACACGTATCGAGCCTCTTTTACACGATCCTGCACAGGCAATGCAAAACTCCTGCGATTAACACAACATCTGATGTTTACATCCAAGAAGAGGACGAGTTAAAGAGAGTTTCTAGAGCAGCTCGTGCGGATTCATAACATCATGGGTGGATTGTCATATCACTATAATGAAGCATCAAAGCAAAACACTAACCCATCTGATGCAAGTCTGACCCATACTGCCAACAAAATGATATATATAGCATTTGAACATTCAGTTCATTCATTCTTGAAATCTTGGCAGTTGTATTTTGTTTTATTATGCGTTTGATTGGTCTTTTCCTCGCTGCGTTTTGTTCTGTTTAATTATTATTGGCTATAATCTACAGCTTTTAAAGGAGTAGTTCACTTTTTAAAAAAAACATTTGCTGATAATTTACTCATCCAAGATCTGTGAGACCTTATCAACGTAACTGCGTATTACGTGACGTCACGAACACGCATCGCAGAAGGCGAGCATTCGAGCTTATAAAACTTAAACTTTGTTATTTATTTATTAAATGAGAGATCGTTTCGCTTGATAAAACCCTTATTCATCGTCTGGTGTCGTTTAAAGCCCTTTGAACAGTTTGCACTGAAACTGTCTTTTGGACCTTGAACCGTTTGGTTCCCATTGAAGTCCATTATATGGAGAAAATCCTGGAATGTTTTCATCAAAAACCTTAATTTCTTTTCGACTGAAGAAAGAAAGACATGGACATCTTGGATGACACGGGGGCGAGTAAATTATCAGCAAAAGTGTTTTTTAAAGTGAACTACTCCTTTAATCTAGCTTCCTGCATTATTTTTTGTTATTAGTTTATAACAAAAAATAGTTTTGTTATGTATGAGGCAGAGATGGGGACTCGAGTCGCACTTGAGTCACACAAATAGCTGACTTCAGACTTGACTCGTGACTCGACCCAAAAGACTTGTCAGCGACCTGTTTTCATGCAATTGTTGCTTTTCAAATATGAATTCATTTTAATGTATTTCTATTTTCTTTTATTGGCGCATACGTTGGGGAAGCGTATGATAAGCTGCATGTCCCCCGCCCTTTGTCATACTGTGCATGAGACAGAGCGTATTTAGGCCACACCCACTCCGGCTAAAAAACAATCAACCTTCTCCATGGACTTTGCGTCTAGATATCTCATAATTTCAACAAAAGTTGGCATTGTAAATCATCCCGCTGCTCCGCGATCTGCACCGTCATCACAGACAAGAAAGCGCTCTCTCTTTCTCTCCAGTTCAATGTTGTCGGATCCAAATATGGTCATTTCCTTTTAATCAGCAACCAATCGCGAAAGTAAATAGGGGGATTTAACTCTAAATGAGCAATCTCATTGGCCTGATGCAAATCTTTAGATCCCGTTTTGCGTTTTCTCAAAATGACTTTTCTCTCAAACTCCACGTCTGAAATCTCCACTATATACCAAACCTAATACACCAAACTGTCCAGTCTTGTACCTAGTTTTATTATGAAGACTTTTACAGATGGATTTGTAAATATATTATTCCTAGCTTGATTTATATAACATTGTTTTTCTAAAAACGTGGCGAAACTCTATTTAAGGCGATCTGATTACAGGATAACAAAAGTAGATATCCATAAATATCTATTTTCCCCCATCTGTTACTGTATGTGAACACAATGAAAAAAATATTATTTATTATTTTTCGCACATATTTAATTAGACAATGCCTAATAATTTAAGACTTGAGACTTGACTTGGACTCGAGCTCAAAGACTTGAGACTTGACTTGGACTTCCAAAAAATGACTTGTGATCATCTCTGGTATGAGGTATTTATGTTCTGCAGAAGTCAGGCCAGATTGTTCTTAATCTTTTCCTGTTTAAATAAATAAATAAAATAGACTCGAGACTTTGGACTTACTGCGTGATAATCCCTCTTCCGGGACACGTTGCTGTTTCGTTCGCTCCAGTCGAAGGCCACTTCCTCTTCCTCCTTCTCGTTGAGCCAGATCAGCTCCTGAGTGGCCCGGGACACGAAGTCATGCAGGCTCTCCAGGTGCTTCTGCCTCTCGCTGGAGCATCTCTGCAAACACCAGAGCACAGGGACTCAGACGCTCGGCTCTGACGGACGGGCCGGATCTTACCCACGCTCACTCACCAGCAGCCTCCGGTACTGGCTCTCCAACAGGCTCAGCTTCTCCGAGTAACTCGGCTTCCACGGCGGGGTCATCTGACTCTGTGGGGGTCACACGGGAAGTTCGTCTTTAAAGACAATTATTTGCATGTATAGTAGAGACACTTTACATGAAGGGGAGTGCATTAGACTGATATGACATGCATGTTTATGACAACTGTCATTAAGTGTCATTCGCTCAATTATGACATTTTTAATGCAAATATGACATTGTTTGAGATGTCTTTGTCATGACACCTCATCATAACCTGTCAGTGTCGTTGTCATGACAACTTGACATTACTAAGACAACACAACCTGTCATAAACATGACTTAGCAGATTAACGATAGCTTTATGGGTTAACATTACATTAAACTGTCAGGTGGTTGGTTTTGTCATTGGCTGTCATGAGGCCGTTGTAACGTGGTCGAGGTCACGAAAAATATTCATGACAAAGGCCGGACTTACCATTGGGCTCGACTGGTCCCGTTTACGTTAGATTTTTTCAATAATATGTCAGTCATTTAATTTTTCTTTTAAAGTTTGTTGATTGGTCTAGTATTGTTACCTGGCCATTTAAGGTTTATGTTTCAGGTCTGTGGTGTAGTAGGCTATAGTATACGCTGAGTTTCGGTGTATTTATGAGATCGTGTCGTGATTATCTATAATTGTCTGCTTTTACTTCTTATTTATGAAATCCAAGCAATGGGTTGATGAAACATTAATTAAAAGCAAGATAAAATTAATACAAACGAAATTCGCTTTAAAGAAGGCGTTGCGCTTTTCTGTTTGAGGTCCGTGACGGTTTTAAAGCAGTCTTTGAGCACTCGCGTCCGTAACGCAGAACTGGCACGTCTGTAACTTTGTTTTTTCCTCATAAATGCATAAAACACTTACCAGGAACAGTTTTTTTTTTTAAAAAACATCTATACACTTATATTTAATACAAATTATTTGTTATGATTGCAGCCTTACAGGGTTTTCCAGGTAAATAACTGTTTTATTCTCATTCTGACAAAAGACGTTTGTACATTGCAATAAACACATGATCACTTTTTTAATCATTATTTATTTATTAAAAAAAAGCTTCAATCAAATAAATTATTAAGTAATAATTTTTAACATGTAACACTGTCTGTCTATGGTAGCAGTCAGTCACCTGTTGAAAGTAGCTTTGCACTTATATTGATTATATTGATACGCCACCAGATGGCGCTCTCACTGAATCGTTCATTCAAGAGATTCGTTCAAAACTGCTGATTCATATATGAAACAAGTGTAGTTGATTGAGGAATTGAATCATTTTTTTTTAAATAATTCAGATTAATTAAACATTTTTAATAAACTTCAGTGATTAACATAAATTATGTTATTTTGTTAAGTTGTTGAAAGTGACTCCTGCCCTGTTCATGACACAGTTATAATGGCCTCATAACATCATATTTCACCCCAAAAAATGACAATTTTCCACAGAAAGTAATTTGTGTTTGTAACAATATGAGGATGAGTTTATAACGACTGAATGATTTGCCTTACCTCGCTCATTTTGGCTTCTTTAATACTCATCTGGAATTCTTCGATGGCTTTGTGGAAATCTTTATGATTCCCTAAGTTTGATTCGACACTCGGTAGATCCGATCCCCAATCCGCTTGATCCAGCTGAACCTTTCAGAGACAAAACACATCCGTTCATAAACTCACCCCACACGCATTGGACTTGCAGTACAATATAAGCATGATTACACAGTTTTGCTTCTCAAGCTAATTATTGTATATTTGTTTTAAAACACAAAAAGGGCCAGATTTACTAAACAGGGCAAATTAGTGTGAGACCGAAAGCCCATAAAAGCAATCATGGCAGTGTAAAGTTCAGCGGGTGTTTTAATACACACATTAAAGAACGTTTTCCATAATGATCGGATCATAAACTAACAGAGCTGCTGAGAATCTGCTAACACACTCGCAAAATGGCTTAAGACGTGCTATTTTTGGCGGTAAATAATGACGTAATAACGAAATAATGATGCTTTAAAACAGTGTAGAAAACATGATTGACAAATGGACAAAAATACTGAATAAAGCCCGTTCACACCAAGAACGATGACTATATTAAAGTCCCCCTGTGGTGTAAATCCAGCATTTAATGTTGTTTTATGTGTGTATGTGGTGTATTTAATACGCTTTAAGACAAACCGTGTGTAAGTTGATAAGTGGACTGAGTATTTCCTCCTTAAAACTGCAGTGAATCAAAGACAGTCTCAAAAACACGCTTTGAAATCGCTGGTGTTTCACAAATGACCTTGTAACCAATCAGATCAATGCGTGATCGCCAACCAGTGGATCTCTGAGTGAGTGAGTGGAGGCGGGGCTCATTTGCATATTCATAGAACCACATATACTAAATGAGGCAAGGGTGTCGAATTACATTTAAGCTATTATAAAGCATAAAAATGTAATTTTGTTGATGAAAGATTACTTTTAAGGGATAAAATTATTGACAACAGGGGGACGTTAACGATAACTATAATGATAAGAATATTAGTATCCACACCAGCGGACTATATTCTTCTGTCTGTCAGTTTTGTCCTCAGCCGCTTTAAATGCTCAACATCGTTAAAGCAGGATCGATTCTGATTGGCTGCCAATGTTTTTATCATTCATCAGCTGGAAATTAATCGTTCAGAAAGTGATTCCACGTTCCTCGTTACAGTTGTGTTGTGGACTCTATGGAAGCTTGTTTCCGCCACAGAATGAAAAATAAAAAAGGTAATTGTGACTTTTTATCTCACAATTCTGACTTTTTTTTCTCACAATTGCGAGATATAGTCAGAATTGCGTGATATAAAGTCGCAATTGCGTGTTATAAAGTCAGAATTACGAGATATAAAGTCAGAAATGTGAGATTGAAACTATTGAGGGGGAAAAAATTAGTCTTTTTTCCACAGAATTGGCCTGATAACTCGCAATTGCGCGTGTATATCTCACAATTGTGAGAAAAGATGTCAGAATTTCGACTTCGCAATTACGTGTTATAAAGTCAGAATTGCGAGATGTAAACTCGCAATTGTGAGGGAAAAAAGTCCGAATTGTGAGATAAAAAGTCACAATTCTGTCTTTTTTTCTCAGAAATGAGACTTTATATCACGCAATTCTGACTTTATATCGCAATTGCGACTTTATTTCTTACAATTCTGACTTTATATCTTGCAATAAAGTCGGAATTTGAATTTTTTTTTTTTTTTATTCAGTGGCGGAAACAAGCTTCGATACTTTTACATCAAGAGCGATTTTTTGAATTCTCGTTATCGTTGTGGTGTGAACGGGCCTTGAGAATGATTATTTCCCGAGTCCTGAACACACCTGCATTTCCTCCACCCAGTTGAGGAGATCCTGCACAAACTTCAGATTGACCTCATCCTCGGTCAGGTTGGGATCCAGGAATGAGGATTTGAGCATGGGCTTGCGGATCTGCATGTGTTTGAGCTGCTGAAGGACCCCGGGCTCCATGCCTCCTCCTCCTCCACCGCTGCTGAGGTAAGTCTGGACCGAGGCAGGGGTCATGGATGGGGTCATCGCAGGGCCCGTACTGACAAGGCCTCCGTGATTGAGCGCAGGAGACAGCCCAGCGCTGAAGCTGGAGTTCAAGCTCTGCGTGATGCCGGAGATCATCCTCTTGGTCTGTTCTGAGGTCAGTGTGTGTCCTTTGCTGTAGACGGTGGAGCACTCGGTTCTCAAAGCCAACAGGTCGTCACGCAGCTTCGAGACCCTGAGGGACCACAGTTTCCATCAACACGTCACACACACATTAATGTCATTACACTCATGGTCTATAAATCTGTGAATGGCTTAGCACATTCTCACCTCACCCATCTTTTGTGGAAACCAGGCTTGTGCACAATTCAGAATGACTACTAAATTCCAATTCAATTCTTGAATTTGAATTGAATTTAAAAAACAGGATCTAGAATTACAATTCGAATTTGAATCAAAGGAAGCAGAATTACAATTCAATACAAATTCTAAGAAATTCATATAAGCGAAGTGTTAAACAATGCAGCTTTACAATATATTTCAGATATGATTGCATATAAATTATATTAGTTTGAATGTTTTCCCCCAGCAATGAATGTTAAAATCTCTAGTCACAGAACAAATAATAAGTTTGATCTAATGTAATTGTTACTTCCTGTCATTCCAATTCCAATTCAACTTCTTGGGGGGCGGAGTCAATTCAATTCAAATTCCAATTCATGAATTGAATGGAGGCCAATTCTGAATTTTTCACAAGCCTGCTGGAAACATGACTCGAGGAGGTCCCTCAAATCAGGGACTATTAGTGGTCCAATGACCAAATTAAAAATAAAAAGCTGCGCCAAAATTGTGGAATAGTCTGCCGGTCAGCACTGCGAAATCTTAATCTTGAATGATACAGTGGCATGTTATGTGTTTATTGTCCATTATTTGTTTATGTTTAACCCTCTAAGCCCGTTTTGGTCGTTTTTCTCTATTTTTACATTTGGGCTTGTAAATCATATGTAATGGAGATGGAACACCATTGGTATGGTGTTTGGTATCTATGCGACTCAGAAGACCCTAAGCTAGCATGTAATGTGTTTATAAAGGAAGTATGAGTGAAATAAATGTGCAATAAACTAGAGAATTTCCAGAATGGAATTCTTTTTTAGTCTTTTATTACTGAAAATCACACCTCACACAACAAAAGAAAAAATATATTGTTCAAACCCTTTTTAATTGTTCAATCAAAAGTAAAATATTTCATCATCTGTGGAAAAGCTGTTCGCTTCGGATTTCTCCTCGTCACTTTCCAGTAATTGTTTCTGAGGTAAATCTTTTACTGCTTGCCATCATAAATGTGCTAAAACAATAAGATAATAACTCTATAATTGCTATTATACTATATATATACGTATATCATAGGGCTGTGCAAAAATTAATTGCGATTAATCGCATCCAAAATAAAATTCTGTGTTTACATAATATATTTGTGTGTGCTGTATATAATTATTTTGTATATATAAATACACACACATGCATGGATATGAAGAGTTCAGATGAAAAAGCCTCTAAATGCCATTTGAAATTTTTTTCTTTAATGATGTTTTTTTTTTTCAAAATTGTATATTTATGTTCAGTAATTTCACTTAAATAACAATTAATAGGTAATTATCATTGCCATTTAAGTGAAATTACTGAACTTAAATATACAAGCTTGATAAAAATTATCATTCTAGAAGAAAATTTCAAATGGCACTTAGAGGCTTTTGCATCTGAACTCTTCATATATTGAAGAAAATGTGTTATTCATATATAAAATATTTATATTTATAAAATATAGATTATGTATTTATATATATATATATATATATATATACAGAATTTAAGTGCAAATAATTCTTAAATATATACATGCATGCATAGGTATTAATATATTTGTGTGTGCTGTATATAATTATTTTGTATATATAATGTAAACACAGACTTTTATTTTGGATGCGATTAATCGCAATTAATTTTTGCACAGCCCTAATATATAATCGTTATGTCTCTTTCTCATATAAATCTCAATTCTCTAATGATATCTGCAATGCATTCATGTTGGTTCTGTTGCTCGTCTTCATGCTAGACTGCCCAGAACAGAACCAGACCAATCCTAACCATATGCTAATGGTCAATGGTATTTGACGATAGTGGTCCTGACAGAAATGAAGTGGATTGATTGACTTTCTGACCTTTGAACGAGCTGGTCAGCCAAGTAGAATTTGCCGTCGAGCAGAAGCTGGATGTCCACGACCTGTTGCCTCAGCAGAGCCTCACACTCCAGGAGACAGCCGGCGATCTCCGCCTCCTTCTGGAACTGGATTCCGGACTCCAAGCGCTTCGCGTCCTGGGGGACATATTCCCATTGGGAGAAAGTCATAAACGACACGATAAATTTTCAATAATTAATTGTTCTTAAAATGTATATTTGTATATATTGTATATATATGTTAAAATGTTTTTGCTGCTTGATGTTTTTGTGGAAACAATGATACCATTCAAACATTTGTTTTATTCATCAAGGATGCACTAAATTGACCAAAAGTGACAGTGAAGTATAATGCTACAAAAGATTTTGTATTTAATAAATGTAATAAATGCAAATAAATGTTGCTCATTGAACTTTCTATTCTAAGGGGGGGAAAATCATCACGGTTTCCACAAAAATACACTGATAATAATCAGAAATGTTTCAAATCATCATATTAGAGTGATTTCTGAAGGCTCATGTGACTGAAGACTGGAGTAATGATGCTGAAAATACAGGAATAAATGACACTTTACAATATCTTCACATAGAAAATGGCTATTTTAATTTGTAACAATATTTCACAATATTACACAAATAAATGCAGTCTTGGTGAGCAGAAGAGACTCCGTGAATGTACATTAAAAAATGATAATGTCTCCAAACTTTTACCAGGTTGTTTAATAACATCTGTGCACCACAGATTAGTTTTATTTTATGCACAGATATGACTGTGCAATCCAAAAACATCTAAACATACAAAAAACATTATATATTAGGGCTGTGCAAAAATTAATTGCGATTAATCGCATCCAAAATAAAAGTCTGTGTTTACATGATATATTTGTGTGTGCTGTGTATAATTATTTTGTATATATAAACACACACACATGCATGTATATATTCAAGAATTATTTGCGCTTAAATTCTGTATATATATATATATAAATACATAATCTATATTATATAAATATACATATTTTATATATGAATAACTTGTATAACATTAACCTATTTTGATTAATTTATTTAAAACCTATAATTTATTTTAAAACCTATAATGAATTTATTTAAACTAGGGCTGTGCAAAAATTAATTGCGATTAATCGCATCCAAAATAAAAGTCTGTGTTTACATAAAATATTTGTGTGTGCTGTGTATAATTATTTTGTATATATAAATACCTATGCATGTATATATTTAAGAATTATTTAAACACATTATATAAATACTATAAAATTATATAAATTATATAATTATATAAATACATTATATAAATACTTAAATTATATAAATACATAATCTATATTATATAAATATAAATATTTTATATATGAATAACACATTTTCTTAAATACATGCATGTGTGTGTATATATATATACAAAATAATAATACACAGCACACACACACATATATTATGTAAACACAGACTTTTATTTTGCATGCGATTAATCGCAATTAATTTTTGCACAGCCCTATTATAAATATAAATTAGTTTGACATGTTACAATTTAATATTTCCAACTCCACCAGCCTAATTACAGGTCATATGTCAATTACGTGAATGCATTTATCAAATCCCCCCCGACTAACGCAAGACAAAGCCGAACGGTTGTCCAGTATTCGTGAACTCACCGACTGCAGAGCCGTCCTCGCGAGCGCTAGTTTGTCCTCTCCGGATACGCAGTCTCGCTGAACTCGGTTGGCAATCTGCTGGAGCATCTCGAGCCTACGAACAGAAGAACACACAGACGGTCAGACAGCAGGTCTAGCGCTGGACGTCCTCTCGGTGAAGAGTGTGTGTCCCGCTCACCGGGGTCCATACACACAGCTGTTGTTGAGGTAAAGCGGGGTGCTGGACAGGGGCTCGTGTGCTCCCGACAGCAGGTTCTCGGCAGAGCCCAGGCTGGCTAAAGTGCTGTCGCTCACGGACGAGGTGCTGCTGCCGTACACCAGGCTGCTGTGCATCATAACAGACCCACTGTGTGTGTGTGTGTGTGTGTGTGTCGGGCGTTCAGCAGCCCTCCGTCACGAGCAGACGCCCCATCTAAACAGCGCACGCTTGCAGCCGCTGCTACTTATAGGCTCATCCCGCGGGTATCAGAGCCAGCCCACACTAACATCAGCCCCGGGTCAAACACTGACGAGACAGCTGAGACGTGTGTGTGTGTGTGTGTGTGCAATCATTTAACCATTTATGGCTGTTGTTATATAATCACGTATTGTGATTATAAATATTAAAAGCATTAGTGATTTCCATTTATTTCCAGGTGATCTCCAACTCCATGTTTTCACATAAATATCATCATACAGTGTGACAGTCATATCTGTGCATTAAGCATAACTAAGCTCAATATAATAATGTAGTTTCACTTTTACAACTATGTTTATTTAATCAAAGAAAATGTATAGTGTGAAATATTATTTCAATTTGAAATAAGTGTTTTTTATGTGAATATATGAAGAGTTCAGATGCAAAAGCCTCTAAATGCCATTTGAAATTTTCTTCTTTAATGATGATTTTTATCAAGCTTGTATATTTGAGTTCAGTGATTTCACTTAAATGGCAATGATAATTACCTATTAATTGTTATTTAAGTGAAATTACTGAACTTAAATATACAAGTTTGATAAAAATCATCATTAAAGAAGAAAATTTCAAACGGCATTTAGAGGCTTTTGCATCTGAACTCTTCATATATTTAATATGCACAGTAATTTATTCCTGTGATCAGTGTCTTTAGTGTCACATGACCCTTCACATCACTCTGATATGAGGATCTGATGATCGATTATTATTATTATCTATTACAGGCAAAAATAACCTGCATCACCAATATAAAAATAGAATATATAGAGCCAAACTTATGTCTCCAGTGCAAACCCAATGTTGGTGTTGAAAAACTATGGTCAGGATTCACTAAAGACGCGCAGCACTGGAACGGAGTGGACAGGGTTTTATATATATATATATATATATATGGCTGAACTTATTGCACATGCATTTGTAGGAAGTTTCCCTTTCATTTTCCCTTCTTTTGTTGAGGAATTGCACTCTCACACTACTTTACCCTGTTTAGTAAATCTGACCCTTAAGAAATTAAAAAATCACTTTGAAAAGAAAACAGTCACAAATTACAAAACAGACCCTTATAAATGAACGATACAAAAAAAAATCTAAAATTTGGTCAAAATTTGTATTATTGCTATTTTGATATGCTAAAAATGATTAAAAATGTGAAGTCAATTCCTCATGTGGTCCACGCCCATGTTCCTTCATTAAGAAATAGCGATGGAGAGATATAGCGTGTGTAAATCATACCTGTCCACCTCCGGCCTCAGGCTCTTCTCCCGCTCCAGCATGGCCACGATCAGCTTGCCCCATTCCTTCTCCACGTCATTGGGGTGGAGACCCGGAGCGAGCTGGATACGGCCGAACTCCATCCACACCTGAACACACAGCGGAGATGAGACACCGCTACACCCGTCCACGGCTGCACATGAACCATACCAACCTCTAGCATTTTGTAGAGATGCTTGATTTTGGCCTTTTCATTCTCTTTCGGTGGGATTTCGTTCTCTTTAAACTGGTGATACTGAGTATAAAGTGCCTGTGAAGGGAGAAACAGTGAGACGACGTGATTTCAGAAGAACACAGCAGAACACCTGAACTCCGGCCTTTAATAGTGTTTAACCTGTGTGTGTGTGTGTGAGGGCACTCTGCCTCAGGCTCCATTACACTGAGCAATGTTTAATGAGTCTCAGCAGCTGCCGATCTCTGAAAATACATGTCTGATACATCTGACAAATATATCTCAGAAATCAAAATGTAATATGGTTTACCACAAAACTCGTTTCCAAATAATAATAATACAAATAACAATAAATAGGACATAAAGCAGGTCTGCTAATAAGGACGAATATGATTTATTTTTTGCATCTTGGCATTTTTTTCATGAAAAGAACTAGTCATTCAGATATTGAAGCTCATTTTTCGCCACATAAGGGGGAAAAATCATGCTTTGGTAAATAGTAATTAGATGAGATAATGCCATAATGAGATAAAAATTTAAAGTATGACATTAAAAGTCAAAATGTTAACACACTACATAATAATTAAGAAATAAAAATTGATTAAAAATAATTGTAATTATGACATACCAGGTCAAAAATCTTGACTATGTTAATTATGAGAAAGGATCAATCATGACACATGAGATACTAATTGAAATTTTGACGTGTCATAATTGACACTCGAAAATACCAGATAAAGTCGACATTATGACCTGCTGTGTCAAGTGGAAATTATGACAAAAGAAGTATACTATATTATAATTATAAGACATTATGGCATGCTAAGTTATAATTGTCACCAGGGTTGGGAAAAGCTACTTTTAAATGTAATGCGTTACTCCTTAAAAAAGTAACACAATATAAAAGTCAAGACTTTCTTTATCATTATTTCGATTTATATGGCATAAATATGATGTTCAAAAGCATGTTTGTTTCTTATGTGGTTGAAATAGGTTTTCATATTCAGATCAGGACGTAGTCGTAATCAGTTTTGTATTGCTTAAAGCATGGTAACATCGTGAGGCTCTCTCTCACCTTAAGTTCCACAGGATTGCTGGGGAAATTTCTGTCCGCCATCACAGTGACGTTGTGTTTGATCCACTGGCTGAGGTACATCACCATGTTCTGGTACTCCACCCATTTAATATCCACATCCTGTTTCAGGAACAACATCGACCATCTTAGTCTTTTGAGCCACTGCGATTCCATGAAATATGAATATACACAGCCATACATCTGACACTATGAGGTTTAGTGTGTGAAATTTCCATCATTCTGTGTTCATTTGCTCATTTATTTAAAGGGATAGTTCACTTTGAAATAAATTTTTGGTATGTTTTATCTGACCTCAAGGGCATCCAAGATGTAGGTGTCTTTGTTTCTGCAGTATTTTCAATTTTGATATTTTTAGGTCAAACCGTTGTTGTCTGTCAGTCATATAATGGAGGTCTATGGTCACCACCTCAAAGAGCAGCACAGAGAAGTCCAGATTAAACATGATTTAATGACTCGTAAATATAAGTGCACATTGATGGCCTAAGACACGAAACGAGCGGTTTGTGTGAGAAAACGAACAATATTTATATCGTTTTACCTCTTGTAATCACAGCCACGTCCAACTGATCTGAGGGCGCGGGCGCTTTGTGGCGGGTAAAAACGATATAAATACTGTTTTGTTCTCACACAAACCGCTCGTTTCATGTCTTAGGCCATCAATGTGTACTTACATTTATGAGTCATTAAATCATGTTTAATTTGGACTTCTCTGTGCTGCTCTTTGAGGTGGTGACCATAGACCTCCATTATATGACAGACAGACAAGAACGGTTTAGCCTAAAAATATCAAAATTGAAACTACTGTGGAAACAAAGACACCTACATCTTGGATGCCCTTGAGGTAAGATAAAATATATTAAAAATGTATTTCAAAGTGAACTATCCCTTTAAGAATAGCAAGCATGTTGGATTGAAGGTTAATGCGACTTAAATGGCACACTGGTTCTCTTCCTCAGACGGCATTATCCAATGCTCTAGGAATGACTCCAAATAATCAACAGATTCCTTAAAAGCGTCCAACTTAGTTTAATTTCATGCATAACAAGCCTCCAAGAAAAAGGTAATGCTTACATAATTAAAAAATGTAGACAAAGTTTATTTGCAAATACAAATTTTTCAGCCCACCCAGCGGGAAAACGTCCTATAGTCCGTGCATTTTAAAGCATTGTTTTAATAAACTTTTGTCATGCTTTAAAGATGCAAACATGTAACATACTTGATTATGATTATAATTATAATTAAACTGTAGTTTGTTATTTAAAGTTAATATATTTTAAATGCACTAAATTGCAACTTATTTGTCAATACATTCAGTTGTATTTATGAAATTACATACACAGTTGTTCTTAAATCCTACTTAAGTTTTTTATAAAAATTATATAATATTTTAGTAGTTATCATAAATTAGGAATCATTTGAAAGCTTACGAACTCAGAAATCATCCTGTGAAAACCGTTTTGAAATTGGACGTTGAGTTACCATAGAAACGGTATTTTTTTATTAGGCACCTCCCCTTTTGGGCATCATCTTTCATAATTTATTATGAAAACCTTTTCTAATCTTGACAAAACACATATTGTCAGAAAGGTCTGAGTATCAAGGTTCCATATTTAGTGACAGAAGTGATATTTGAATAGAAATGTATTAATTTGTTATGGCAAAATGTATACAATTAAATTCAATGGAATTAAATGGCACCCGGTGGCTATTTTTGGTACTACGCCTAAACAAAATCTCATGGGAACTTCAATTTTTGTGATATCAACATCAAATTTGGAAAACAACTTGGTTAGATATATAGCTTTCATTTTATAGTAAAACATATTTTGTAAAATATGTATTTCATATTAAAAAATATATTAATAAATTATATTTGATTTACTGTAAATTATAACTTCCATAAATTTTTCATACTTTAATTTTTTGAAGTGCTTTCACTTTAGTAAACTTAGGTCTATATTCCAAAGCATTCTTGAATTACAACCATTTAAGTTTGTATAGTGCATTTTAATGTCAATTATCAAAAAGGGGCACCTCCCTAGGTAAAGGGTTAAAATCACTCTAAAGTTCAGCTAATTGCATTTAATATACATTTAAACTATAAAACTCTTTTAATTAACATGCAGCTAAGAGTCTGAAAACATTATATTTACATTCAGATGGCACTTCACTCTTTTATTTCCGTATACCCTGATTTTTCAAAAGGGTAGTTTTGTTATAAATCTGTGATTGTACTTACATTTGCACTGATGCCCTCCATACCTTCCGGTACTTTCGGGAAGACATCGTATAATGTTGAAACATAAGTAATGACCGACTTCTCATCCGGAGATGACACGTCAACATCTGCTCGAAAGAGGAAACATTTGCTTAGTTAGAATGCTACTTTATAAACCATCTGAACAGTTGAGCAACAAATGCGTGTAACCGTTCCTTTCAGAGCAATTCGCTACAGACAAAACAGTTTCCGGTTTCTATGAAGTGTTGAATTGGATGTTTATTCTGCTATTCTTAGATCCCAGTGTTGTTTTACAAATGACCATGAACCCCAGTGTAAGTGCAGACGCACGGCTCTGGAGACTCTACACCTCCGAGCTGAACCCGTGACGGCTCACTGCAGTCATTTGGTGGAGTTGTGTCAACCAGAAGCTCATTCTCACTCAATCACATCTCTGAAGTTTCACACTTCACCAAAAGCAATAGAGATAGTTTTTGACCTCACTGTTTTGAAATGCTGGGTAACCCGTCCTCAGTGAGAAAACGTGGGCATAATAAGGATGATGGAAAATTGTTTTTTAGTGACATTACTTTCAAACCATGTAATTGTTTACATTTATATTCATGCATTTAGCAGACACTTTCATGTACACTGTCACATTTCATGTACACTGTGTGTGTAACCATAGCGACAAAACGACCAACTTTCGGATCCTGCACTTCAGCTTATAATTTCGTTTTTAAAAATATAATTAAGTATTTAAATGTTGCAGAATGGATTCATTTGGAGACTTCGAAGGTCTCGACTTGGTCTCGATCACGACTTGGTCTCCATCACGACTTGGTCTCCATCACGACTTGGTCTCCATCACGACTTGGTCTCCATCACGACTTGGTCTCTATCACGACTTGGTTCCATCACGACTTGGTCTCGATCACGACTTGGTCTCGGTCTCGATCACGACTTGGTCTCGGTCTCAACTTGTGCTCGGTCTCGACTTGGTCTCGGTCTCGATCACGATTTGGTCTAGGTCTCGGTCTCAACTTGGTCTCGGTCTCGATCACAACTTGGTCTCGATCACGACTTGGTCTCGGTCTCGATCACGACTTGGTCTCGATCTCGATCACGACTTGGTCTCGGTCTCGGCCTCGACTTGGTTCTCGGTCTCGATCACGACTTGGTCTCGGTCTCGGTCTCGACTTGGTTCTCGGTCTCGATCACGACTTGGTCTCGGTCTCGACTTGGTCTCGGTCTCGATCACGACTTGGTCTCGGTCTCGACTTGGTCTCGGTCTCGATCACGACTTGGTCTCGGTCTCGATCACGACTTGGTCTCGGTCTCGGTCTCGACTTGGTCTCGGTCTCGATCACGACTTGGTCTCAGTCTCGGTCTCGACTTGGTCTCGGTCTCGACTTGGTCTCAGTCTCAGTCTCGACTTGGTCTCAGTCTCAACTTGGTCTCGGTCTCAGTCTCGACTTTGTCTCATTCTTGATCTCGACTTGGTCTCGGTCTTGATCTCGACTTGGTCTCGGTCTTGGTCTCGACTTGGTCAAGGTCTTGGTCACGACTTGGTCTAGGTTTCGGTCTTGATCTCGACTTGGTCTCGGTCTTGGTCACGACTTGGTCTAGGTCTCGGTCTTGATCTCGACTTGGTCTCGGTCTTGATCTCGACTTGGTCTCGACTTGGTCTTGGTCTTGGTCTCGACTTGGTCAAGGTCTTGGTCTCGACTTGGTCAAGGTCTTGGTCTCGACTTGGTCAAGGTCTTGGTCACGACTTGGTCTAGGTTTCGGTCTTGATCTCGACTTGGTCTCGGTCTTGATCTCGACTTGGTCTCGGTCTTGGTCTCGACTTGGTCTCGGTCTTGGTCTCGACTTGGTCTCGGTCTTGGTCTCGACTTGGTCAAGGTCTTGGTCTCGACTTGGTCTCGGTCTTGGTCTCGACTTGGTCAAGGTCTTGGTCTCGACTTGGTCTTGGTCTTTATCTCGACTTGGTCTCGGTCTTGGTCTCGACTTGGTCAAGGTCTTGGTCTCGACTTGGTCTCGGTCTTGGTCTCGACTTGGTCAAGGTCTTGGTCTCGACTTGGTCTCGGTCTTTATCTCGACTTGGTCTCGGTCATGGTCACGACTTAGTCTAGGTCTCGGTCTTGATCTCGACTTGGTCTCGATCACGGTCACGACTTGGTCTCGGTCTTGGCTTGGTCTCGGTCACGACTTGGTCTAGGTCTCGGTCTTGATCTCGACTTGGTCTCGGTCTTGATCCCGACTTGGTCTCGGTCTTGATCTCGACTTTGTCTCGGTCACGGTCACGACTTGGTCTCGGTCTTGGTCTCGACTTGGTCAAGGTCTTGGTCTCGACTTGGTCTCGGTCTTGGTCTCGACTTGGTCAAGGTCTTGGTCTCGACTTGGTCTTGGTCTTTATCTCGACTTGGTCTCGGTCTTGGTCTCGACTTGGTCAAGGTCTTGGTCTCGACTTGGTCTCGGTCTTGGTCTCGACTTGGTCAAGGTCTTGGTCTCGACTTGGTCTCAGTCTTTATCTCGACTTGGTCTCGGTCATGGTCACGACTTAGTCTAGGTCTCGGTCTTGATCTCGACTTGGTCTCGATCACGGTCACGACTTGGTCTCGGTCTTGGCTTGGTCTCGGTCACGACTTGGTCTAGGTCTCGGTCTTGATCTCGACTTGGTCTCGGTCTTGATCCCGACTTGGTCTCGGTCTTGATCTCGACTTTGTCTCGGTCACGGTCACGACTTGGTCTCGGTCTTGGCTTGGTCTCGGTCACGACTTGGTCTCAGCCTTGGTCTTGACTTGGTCTGTCTCAGTCTTGGTCTCGTCTTGGTCTCGATACCCTCTGGTCTTGGTCTCTGTTTAAACAAGTCTAGTCACAGTACTAAAAATATTAATAGAGTACAATTGTAGGTTTAATAGAAAGCCAGACTGGGAAACAAGCAAGATCTGGGCTCACACTACAGGAGTCTTGGGATGATTTGTGCCAATTTTGATTTTCCCCTCCTGACAATCTAAGAAAAAATCTTGTCCAGGACATTGGTCGGTTCTGATGTCCATGTTTTTAGACATAATTACTAACTTTCATTAGGTTTCCCATTTGGATATATATATAGAGATTTAAAGACTAGTTTTTGTCAGTTTAATTGTTGTTTTAAATGTCAGTTTAATTGTTTTAAATGTTGATATGAAGTGATTACAGTCAAACCAGAAGACAGTGGGTGTGTTTGGCACTCCTGATGTTTTAGAGTTTCACCCCTTCACTGCTGTGTACTTTTTCTCTGCATTGTGGCTGATTTGTATATTTTTCATATTTCCTGGTTAAATGGTGGTCATACTTAACCACGAACAACACGCCCAATTCGTCTTTTTCCAATCAAGTCAACAATTATTTTTTATCACATAGCAAGTGCCACAAAAGTCAAAGTTTCATTCCATTCTGTTTTCAGTTCCTGGTGTTCAGTTTTGGATCTTGTGTTCCCTGTTTTGACTCTTATTATCATTAAATCTTACTCTGCATTTGGATCAAACTCTCCCTCGTTTTTGAGTTTCACCAATGTTACATTTACACATGAGAGCAGCCAATAAACATCTTTAACAATGACTCATTAATGTATTATTTTACTTTTACAGAACCTACATTTTGCCAAGTGATTTTGAGTGTCTCAGCCCAAACATTAACATTTGACATCTTGAAGTTGGACAGTTTTTACTGGAGGGTGAGAATACATACTTGCTCCATCAGGTCAACATGTATTAGGACAGGAGAAACTCACCCTCTGGGTCCAGCAGTCGGGCCACCCCGAGCTGCTCGGCCACACCAAACGCTTGCTCTAAGTTGGATCTGCTACTTTGTGCTGAAACTCTGCTCATATCCACCAGATCAGGCCTGAATGAAGACAAAATGATTTCAAAATCTCTGCATGTCTAATATCTTTCAGATATGTTTGGTATTACATTCCAAGGTTTAGCTTTAATCGAAATTTTGTTTGATTGATGGTGACAGGCATTTTCAATTATGCAAATTGGCCCAATGTCAAAAACTCGTACAGTACTCACTCGCAATCAAGAGACGTCATTCATTTGAAGGAGCATTTAAGCAACAATTATATTTTGCATTAAGTTTATTTAAGGACCGCTATGAAATCTTGGTCCCAAAGTCTGGGTCTTCATATTCTTTAACAGAAACAGGTTTTCATCTTTTTGATTTTGGGGTGAAATATGACCCAGATACGCTCTTGACAGGTTTCGTGAGATTCACTCAAAAGGATTATTACCACTACCAATCCTTGCCTGACTGACAGGAATAGGGGTGGCTAGAAATATCTTTGCACAAAGAAGTAATCATTCAGAATCTAGGTCATCTGTAGGTCTGTTAGGTAAAATGACATTTCATCAGATTATGACTATGGGGCATAACAGATCATTCCAAGAATAGAGATGAGAGATACACATACTGTACACGTGTAAGAAACAGCTCTCGTTACCTATTTTACATCCACAATGTAACATTTTATTTGAGAGTGAAACGGGATATTCAGTTTGAAGGAAGACCAAGACTGTGGTTGTTACGGTATCAAAATTTCAGAAGTCGGTATCATACCAATACTTGTCAAAGTCTGCGGTTGTCGCTACCAATTTTAGTACCAGAGCAAAAACTTTTGAATTATGTACTTTAAAAAAATATTGTCCTGTTTGTCTGATCCATTGGTCTGATCCATCACAGTTTCTGATTTAATCACACATTTGAATAATCCGTAATTTCAGGACTCACTCCTGTAAGGAGATACGGTTGTCAATCCCCAAAACTGACAATCTAGCATCGTTTACAGTACATCGTGCAGCTTGCATAAAATAAAAACAAAACCTTGTGCGTTTGCAGTAGTGTTAGGTTAGGTAGTGTAATCTGTACACAATTTGACAAAGAAGCTGGTAGATATTGATATAATGTTGCCTTTTCTGCCAATGTGGACAGCTGACAGTCTGAGAGTCTCCAAGTGGGCTTTACATGGGTCACCAAAAACTGAAATTCTGTCATTTATTTACTCAACCTCTAAAACACGAAATCAGATGCAAACAGATGACAAAGGCATGAGGCTCTGGACATTGACATTACCTGTACTTATGAATAATAGCATTGAACAGTCGTCCATCCCTCCACGAGGTAGTGAAGTTGTCGCAGCGAACGCCTACGTAGCCTTCGGTCATCTGCTTGGACCACAGCAGAAGCCTCTCCTTGGCTGTCATGTCCTCGGACTCTCCCGTCACATGGATGTCCGAGATCTGCAGGCAGGAACGATGATATTTCCGTTAATATCGTTAAGAATATGTGCTATAAACCTTTTCAAACCCAGTCATATTCAGCAATCTGTAAAAGAAATGGTCATTTTGTAACACAGTAAATAATTGTATCCCTTAAAACTCATCTTTGATCACCAAAATTGCATCAAAAATGACATATTTGAACAAGAAAAGGATATATTTGAACATTTTCCTTGAAAAGGATATTTAGAATTGTAAGTCGTGTCTGCTAAATGAATAAATGTAAAAGAAATGTCTTCATGCCTTAAAATTTCTTGACTGTAACTCGACACCCCTGTCTCATTTAGTATGCGAGGTTCTATGAATATGCAAATGAGCTCCGCCTCCACTGGTTGACGATCACACGTTGATCTGATTGGTTACAAGTTTGTGATGTCAGAAACACCAGCGATTTCAAACAGTGTCTTTGGTTCACTGCTAAATACTCATATAGATGCTACATATAAATAACATTAAAAGCTTGATTTGTTTACCACAGGGGGACTTTAAACTGTTTTCAAAACCAAATCACAGAATTACACCTTATTAAATTAATGTGCATGACTTCACATCTATGTGAATAATGTAGCCATAATTATCAATCTGTCCTGCAAATAATCTAGCAAAAGGTGAGTTTAGAATTAAGAATAAATAAAGATGCATATATCATGCACATACAGAGATTTTTGTGCACCTTATTATGACTGTGAACACAAAGCATGGCAAGACTTCATCAGCGAAGAAGAATAGAGGGCAAAAACTGAAAGTGAATGACAAAGACCGTTGAACACTAAGAAGGATTGTGTCCAAACAACACACAGAAAAACGCTTCCACAAAACCTGACCACAGAAAACTTCACAAAACCAACATCAATTAAAGTTTAACCTCAGACACCACTGCTAGAATGTGAGAATAATGGAGTTAAGATCATAAAACAGGGACCGTTAGGTCAGTTTAATCACCTGACGTTAATATTATTGAGTGAGAAGCAGTCACTCCTTCAACATGTTCTGATAGACCACATTCAAAAGTTGTATTAATCTACTCTAATAAAGTTTGAAGTTAAATTGTTAAAATATTGCCTATTTCCAGGTGTTCACATTATTTTGCCCAACTCCTGTAGATTGTGTTATAGTACCATAAAAGGGCTGTGTTTGTTATCCTATCAATATAACATGAGCAAATATTTCCTAAATGTCAGTTTCAGCATTGAGGCTCAAGTAGAAAGGCTGAATCATGTGACATTTGATCAGTGGTTCCCCAGCACTGGTTGGTTGATCTGTTTCTTCAATCCTACTAAATACATTTTCAATATAGCATTGCAAAACACTGAAGGTGAAGAGAGAACGTCTTACGCGACTTCACGTTACAAAGGATTTTCAGCTCTAAAACCAAATGCCTGGAGCAAAAGTTAAGCCAACACCTTCTGATTTAAGGAAACACATTATACCACAACAGCTTAACAATCATGTACAGATCGGTAAGTGTGTAATATGTCTACGTGCTGACACTGAAGTAAACTCAAAGGAATCTGCCGGCCGGCCAGAGTGTAATTATAGCTTGTAGGAAGAGAGACGAGCACATGGTGTTTAGACTGTGGGTGTGGAAAGACTGAGCTATTGAACCAAACACACCAAAACATGCCAACTCTGACTAATCACTGCAGTGAATGAGAATATTATGGAAACTCTGTGTCATTCATTAAAAAATGTCTAGATTCTAGTATTTAGGATGAAATTTTTGGAAAATGCTTAAAAAGGCTAATGTGGATAGAGAGCGTTTTGTAATGAAAAATCAGTTTTCATATTTTACATTTACATTTATTCATTTAGCTGACGCTTTTATCCAAAGCGACTTACAATTGCTATATATGTCAGAGGTCGCACGCCTCTGGAGCAACTAGGGGTTAAGTGTCTTGCTCATTGGTGTCTCACAATGGATGAGTCTTTAGACAGTCTTTACACGCATCCTGTAGTCTGATGTCTTTACACGCATCCCAGTCTTTACACGCGTCCTAGTCTTTACACGCGTCCTGTAGGCTGATGTCTTTACACGCATCCCAGTCTTTACACGCGTCCCAGTCTTTACACGCGTCCTGTAGGCTGATGTCTTTACACGCGTCCCAGTCTTTACACGCGTCCTGTAGGCTGATGTCTTTACACGCGTCCCAGTCTTTACACGCGTCCCAGTCTTTACACGCGTCCCAGTCTTTACACGCGTTCCAGTCTTTACACGCGTCCCAGTCTTTACACGCGTTCCAGTCTTTACACGCATCCCAGTCTTTACACGCGTCCTGTAGGCTGATGTCTTTACACGCATCCCAGTCTTTACACGCGTCCTAGTCTTTACACGCGTCCTGTAGTCTGATGTCTTTACACGCGTCCCAGTCTTTACACGCGTCCTGTAGGCTGATGTCTTTACACGCATCCCAGTCTTTACACGCGTCCTAGTCTTTACACGCGTCCTGTAGTCTGATGTCTTTACACACGTCCCAGTCTTTACACGCGTCCTAGTCTTTACACGCGTCCTGTAGGCTGATGTCTTTACACGCATCCCAGTCTTTACACGCGTCCCAGTCTTTACACGCGTTCCAGTCTTTACACGCATCCCAGTCTTTACACGCGTCCCAGACTTTACACGCGTCCTGTAGGCTGATGTCTTTACACGCGTCCCAGTCTTTACACGCGTCCCAGTCTTTACACGCGTTCCAGTCTTTACACGCATCCCAGTCTTTACACGCGTTCCAGTCTTTACACGCGTCCCAGTCTTTACACGCGTCCTGTAGGCTGATGTCTTTACACGCATCCCAGTCTTTACACGCGTCCTAGTCTTTACACGCGTCCTAGTCTTTACACGCGTCCTGTAGGCTGATGTCTTTACACACGTCCCAGTCTTTACACGCATTCCAGTCTTTACACGCGTCCTGTAGGCTGATGTCTTTACACACGTCCCAGTCTTTACACGCGTCCCAGTCTTTACACGCGTTCCAGTCTTTACACGCATCCCAGTCTTTACACGCGTTCCAGTCTTTACACGCGTCCCAGTCTTTACACGCGTTCCAGTCTTTACACGCATCCCAGTCTTTACACGCGTTCCAGTCTTTACACGCGTCCTAGTCTTTACACGCGTCCTGTAGGCTGATGTCTTTACACGCATCCCAGTCTTTACACGCGTCCTAGTCTTTACACGCGTCCTGTAGGCTGATGTCTTTACACACGTCCCAGTCTTTACACGCGTCCCAGTCTTTACACGCGTCCTGTAGGCTGATGTCTTTACACACGTCCCAGTCTTTACACGCGTCCCAGTCTTTACACGCGTCCCAGTCTTTACACGCGTTCCAGTCTTTACACGCATCCCAGTCTTAACACGCGTTCCAGTCTTTACACGCGTCCCAGTCTTTACACGCGTACCAGTCTTTACACGCGTCCCAGTCTTTACACACGTCCTGTAGTCTGATGTCTTTACACGCGTCCCAGTCTTTACACGCGTCCCGGTCTTTACACGCGTCCTGTAGTCTGATGTCTTTACACACGTCCCAGTCTTTACACGCGTCCCAGTCTTTACACACGTCCTGTAGTCTGATGTCTTTACACGCGTCCCAGTCTTTACACGCGTCCCGGTCTTTACACGCGTCCTGTAGTCTGATGTCTTTACACACGTCCCAGTCTTTACACGCGTCCCGGTCTTTACACGCGTCCCGGCCTTTACACGAGTCCCGGTCTTTACACGCGTCTCGGTCTTTACATGCGTCCCAGTCTTTACACGCGTCCCAGTCTTTACACGCGTCCCAGTCTTTACACGCATCCATTTACATTTATTCGTACAGCTGACGCTTTTATCCAAAGCGACTTACAATTGCTATATATGTCAGAGGTCGCACGCCTCTGGAGCAACTAGGGGTTAAGTGTTTGCTCAGGGACACATTGGTGTCTCACGGTGGATTCGAAACCTGGTCTCTCACACCAAAGGCATGTGTCTTATCCACTGCGCCATCACCATCCGGATTAATGTAAACGCAGCCTGAGAGTCGAATGTTCCAGGTTGTCATCTAATAATTCTAGCAATGAAGACCTGGTGTGAATGCAACATTGTGTATATCACAAATTAACCGTGTATTGCATCGTTTTAAGAAATGTCATGTGCATCATGTCATTGCATCATAAATGGCATCTCAAATGTTGACAGATGCTGATATTACCTCCTGGTGTTTAGTAGAGCCGAGTTTAAGATCTTGCTGGACAGTATCCAAAGAAGCCTGGGAAACTAAATCTCCCGAGCAAGTGTGGGCCCTCCTCCGCTTCCTGTGCACTTGAGTGTCCCATATCATTTTGGAGAACCCTTCCATGTGTCCATGTGTCTGGAGCATATGCTCCACCGCTCCAAAACTAGCCGCCCTCCCCAATTGTCTCCGCAAAAGTTTCTTGTCCACAAGCCTGTCCTTTGCAGTGATGCTTCCGGAGCTCTTGGTGACCCCGTGTAGAGTATGGTCGGCATTACGCCTGCTTTTGTCCTTATTTATCTGATAAGAACCCAATTTTCTACCAGTTTTACCTCGGAGGACTGGGACTTCTCCAACGTAGACCCCTTGGCTGATACTGTGCTGCCTGGGCCTCGGAAACTCGTCTTGCCCTGAGTTCAATGTACACACCAGATCAGATGTGGCATAATCCAGGTCATCAGTCTTACAGCTTCCATGGCTTCTTAAAGAGTCAGTGGGATTAAAATCAGCTGATTTTCTCTTTTTTCTCCTTTGAAAGTATCGGCGTCCATGGAGCTGCTTTGGTGAGGCGCTGATCGGGGCTTTCGTGGGATCAACATAACACTCCTCCTTAGAGTCCCTAACGCATCCGCACATATTACCCATGGCGGTTGCTCATGCTAACACGGCTGCAAATTAAGAAAGCTTCACTCCGTCCAGCCAGCTTTAAACAAGATCAGCAAGTTCAAGCGTTTCTTATCCCAGGAAGTACCCGCCATCGTT